AAGCTGACACTAAGTTTTCAATCTCAAATAGCACTTTTATCGTTTTGTTATATAGAACAACATATGTCTCAATGTCTGCTTGGTGTCTTCGTTGATCTTCAATTATCTGTTTGCTCAATTTTTTGATGGATCTTTTGAAGGTTAAGTATATGGAGCACAAAAATATGCACATAGCGATCGGAGTATAGTGATGATAAAATATAGACACCAATGCCAAAATTACAGGGATCTGGGTAAAAAGAGATCCATTGTCTTGAAAACCAAACAAAAATGTTTTCAAGTATTTATCCTTAACCCCAGCTACTCTCAAATGCTCCATTGATATGTAATACAGTATAATAGCAACCAAAAGACATAAACCACAAAGTAAGAACAAAATGTTCTTTATGGGTTTGTACTTTTCACTGGTGACGCAATAATGGTACTCTTCCATTAATTGAAAAACTGGGTACAGTTTGTGTCGATTCAAGTAAATGGTAAATCGTATAATTCCAAGAAGGATATTAAAAAAACTTAGAGTGAAACTTGCCTGTAGAGCACGAGTTAGTTTCACAGCTGCCAGCGTACTGACGAGAATTATATACAGCCAGATGACGTGAATGATATATTCAATAATTTTGATAAAGTAGTGCCAACAGGGTGGATTATTTTTGTTGACTGGTGTGGCTGATGTGAATATTCCCAATAGTATAAGCAGATGAACACTTGGAGACAAATCTTTCGATACTTCGTCTTTATTTTTCATTTCATTCTTTTGTTTATGCTGTAATGTGATAATAAATGGCTGAAATTTACCGTGAGAGTTCTTCACATTTTCGAGATTATTATCACCCATTTAACGAAACTTATTGTAAGTATCTGTAAAATTTAACAGCCGGACGTGGAATAAAAATATTTAAGTTAAAGCCTTCTTGGGATGGTTAGTTATTCAAATAAAATATTTTGAAATCATAAAACTCAGAAGTAACCGAACTACAAGTTCATTCTATGGAATTTAACAAGTTCTCTAGATTATTATTACCTACTTAAGCTTTATAAAAGTCTTTATATTTTACAACTTAGTCTTTGATGAAAAAAATTTCAGTTAAACTGGTGGTTGTATGGAATATTATTCCAATAAATATTTTCAAATCTATTAAATCAGAAGTAAGAGTTCAATAGTTCATTTCACAGAATTCAAGCTAACATGGATATGTCTGCCCATTAGCGTACAAGAATTAACTAGTTCTATCGTTCTTAAAGGAATAGATGAAAATGAATTAGGTAAGAATAAATTGTCAACCTGTACATTTATTCACCGTTTTGTAAATGAATAGACAAAAAAATGAGTACAACAAAATTAATTTGATAATGGATGTAAACAATACGTTCTCTGAATCAACCATCTTTAATGGTATAACAATAACGCCCTGTCGTAGTTGTCATCTGCAAACTAAAAAGCAATTTTGGATCGGAAATTGATATCTTAGAGCATTAAGGGTAAATGTAATATATAAAAGATTGGTTGACTTAGCTGCTTTTGATCTTTAAAAATAAATTAAGGCTAATTAATAGTTATAATAAAGACAACTAAGGATTTAAAAGTAATGTTTATGCATTTTGAAGATGTAGTCAATTTATATTTGTACTTGAATTTTTAATAGAAATTAAGACACAAATGCATAGAAAACTTTGAAACAAAGATGCTTTAGATTAAAAAAAAAAAAAAACAGCTTTCGAAAAATTTATGCATTGAATATTAAGATAATTATTCTTAAGGCAATCGATATGTTTTCAATAATTTATGTGTATGTTTTGACTCACGAGTTTTACAAAAAATTAAATCAATCTGATGTAATAAAAATTTAAATTTTGTACCATTTAATCAGTATTGATTATTTTTAATTTACTCAAGAAGTATTTAACTTTATTCAGTTTCCTCAACCAAATATATTTTCATCTTAAATATTTTATTTTGTTTGTTTGTTAGTTTTACTTTCTCATTCCTTTCTTTTATGTTAAATATGCCTTTTCGCATAACACCTACTCCATATTAGATAGGATTGTGTTGACAATTCGATTTACTGAAAATTTTATTAACATCCATATCAATATTGTGATTTTCGTTGCATAGGGACCATTCAAGTATTACGTTGGCATATTTTTGGCAATTTTGGGATCCACCAACCCCTCATTAGCAAAAATAAATAAATCACAAACCCCTTCTATGCTTACTTAAGGAAAGGTGCCACCCCTCCTCGTGGCACCTCCTCCCACTTTAATTTTGACTTTTACTGTGGTTTTTAAGTTTTGAGTTTTAATATAAATAAAAAAAAGCTACTTTGCAACAAACAAAGTTTACGTTTGGATTCATTTAATAAAATTTTCAATCGAATATTCTCTGGGAATCTTGTTTTTTCTTTTCTTTTCTTTTCTTTTTTTTTTTTTTTTTTTTTTTNTTTTTTTTTTTTTTTTTTTTTTTTTTTTTTTTTTTTTTTTTTTTTTTTGTTCAAAACTTGTTAAACTCTGAAATTCCTTGAAAAAAATAATTTTTTTTCTCAAACTTTTCTTTCTCCGAATTCAACTTTATTCCATTTTTGAAATTTTTCTATTAATGTACGTTACTTTTTGTAACGGTTTTTATTTTCTTTTTCAATAAAATTTTGAAAATATGGTGATTTTAATGTACGTAAGCATCACTCATACCCCTTCACCCCTTTGTCAGCAAAAATACGCGAATCATTAGGCAAGACAGTCCGAATTCCCATAAATTATCATCGACAAGGTCTTTTTAGTGATTCTCAACTAGTTAATTTATCGGCAGTATTTGAACTTATTGAACAATGTTGCTAAAGCTTAGAATTTATCACATTTTGAATTTTAGACACTATGTTTTGCACTAAAGGTTTCAAAGAGTTGTTACTTTTTATCCATAAAATTTAATTTTTGAATCTCTCTTGGAATAAAAATTTCTGCAAATGTCCCTGAACAATTTGTGCCATAATTCTAGTACCAATAAACGCCCTCTTAGGAATTTTTATTATTCAAAATATTCTTGGAAAAATGTGAATCAATTTCATTGCAGAATTTTCTTTTTTATTCTATAGATAAAATAAATATATTTTTATTCTTAAAATTGCGCCCTCCCCAAAGGAAATTGTTTTTAGCTTTTCTTATTAATTTATTAATTCAAGATCACAATTTTTTTTTAAATTATTTTTTATTTTGGACAAATGTATTTACACATTACAAGATTTTATTTTTTTTACCTAATTCAGCTAACCACTTTTAAATCGACAGTACCAGAAATAATAATTGCACATGAATAATAATTGTAAAACTCCGAAAATTCGCGTTTCGCCCTATTAGCAGATGCTCTCAATATGAAAATTGTATATGTTAAGTCCTTTTAATGCGAATTGGAAATTAAAAATTTTGCAATTCTAATAATTCAGTTAATTTTTGAATTTCTTAAAAATATCTTAAATCTTCTGACCTACATTTTGAATGCGAAACAAAAATATTGCTTTTGAAAGATTACTTCCTAAGTCAATTTCTTCATGGAACAATCCAAACACAGGAAAAATGATTTTGTAATTTCCTGTAAATATGTAATATCCTAATTATTTGACAGTAGGTCTTCGGTGTTACCTCAAGATTTCCGTTTCGAATATGTTGACGTATATAAGCAATTTAATCCAGAGATAAAATTAAACTCAAATATTTTCGTGGGAATATTTTACTGAAGTGGTAAGAATAAAATTGATCTACTTTAATTTATTGTTCAGTTCTGTTTATTTCAGCCAAAAAGCCGTCAAATTAATTGATATTTAAGTTATGCAGTTTAACTAATTTATTAAACATTATAATTTTTCAAAATTGTTATTTCATTTTGTAATTATCATTCTTCAATATCAATTGATTTTAACATTTAAACTTTAAGTTACAAAATTTGAACTCTTGAGTTCAGTTATTTGAATATTCCTGAGATATGAAAATTCGCAAAACTTTTATATTTCAAATTTTATTTCTCAGTAACTGATTAACCGATTTCGTTCCAAATTCAGAATTCGTCAATTAAAACTATTTTGTTTAAGATGATGTTGTAAAGATTTTTCATATTTTCCCCGAATTTCTTTCAATATTCAAATAATCATCTTCAGAGAATTTTAAATGAGCTCATGGGACGATAAATTAGTTACCACCACAAGGTTTTGCTAATACGTCGCATTTAATTTGAGCCACTAGGTAAAGATGTAATTACACAAATCCACCAGATTATGAAATGCTGATTTCAGCTCTTTCTGTGCAGTTACAACCTGGCCCACAAATTTTCTATGGGCTTAAGTCAGGTGATTTTGCAAGCCAATCAAGGAGTAATTGGGTGTGTGAGTGCTCACAAAACCAGACACATATTCTTCTATACCAATGAACTTTGATCATATTATCTTCAATGTAGGTAATAATCAAATATACTCATCAAGAAGATGTAGACTGAAAGGCAACAGTTGATCTTAATGTTAAGATGAACATGTTGGCTCATGTAAGTTCGGGGTCAATCAAAGAGCGGGCTCACTCCATGATAAAAAATTAAAAAAAACTTCCCGAACTATCACAGACTAACCAACAATGGCTTGAACCTTATTTTATGATTTTTTTTTGTGGCACGCTAATTTTTGTCCCGTGAGCATATGTTTCTACTTTTTCAAAATAATATATTTTCCATTCTAATATATTAGAATTTATATTCTAACATGATATATTATATTACTATATTCTATTATAATATATTTTCTGATTATATGTATTCTAAATTAAGAATCAGTTATAAAACGTTAAGAGAGTTTGAAAAAAAAAGTTATTCATTATAAAACAAAATAGCAAATACCGGCAATATTTTTAAACGACGTTCAAAAAATACTGTTTTAAATATCTTTGAACAGATTATTTTAAAACTTTTACTTAATTATTATATTTACTTTTTATTCCTAAATATTTGTTTAAACTACGTGTTTTTACAGGAGATCTATCGGAAGGATTCTGAGGTTTTTGTTTCAGCATGCGGAACAAAGTAGCAACCCTACTTCTTTTAACTGCAGTGATACTTGGTTGCTTTGATTCAGGAAAAGGCTCCTCGAACTCAAATCGGAACTTGCTCGAGGATTATGGATCTGGAGACGTCGGTAAGTAGAATCACGAATACATTTGCTTAAAACTCACAAATGTATGAAGAAAGCATTGGTTAGAGAACCGATTTAGACACTTTGCTTCCTTTTTTTCGGTGGGGAATTTTGTGAAAATGTAAACCTAATATATTTTTAATTCAATCCCTCGTTGGCCTTTATTTATAATATTGTTTGTTCTTGAGAAGGACTAGACTTAAGAACAACTTTCATTGTAAAATATTTCAATGTATCACCATTTATATTTTTTTCTGTCTTTTAAAGTCGTTGAATAATACATAAAATAAAGTAGCAATGACAATTGGCAATCTAAATGGGCTACAGGTGGCGTAGAGCAGAATTCTCTACCTATGGCAACACTTCGCATACTTTTATCATTAGCGGATGGAGAGTCATAATACGTTAGTTTCTGTCGTGATTTTCAAATAGATTAAAATCTTTTAAGTTAGGAAACAATATGTTACAGAAAACTACATTAAACGTAGTTCGAAAAGAAAGCGTCGTGGAAATTTTGAGAAATATTTTTAGCAATTAAACACGAAAAATATTAAGAAAAGGAAAAATATCTTAGTACATTCCTTTACAGCTGAGAAAAGGAGAGGGTAGAAGAAGGGGCAGAGCCAAAGGCATGGAATCGGCCTTCTCCCCAGATGGCGTATTCGAGCTTCGTAATAGCCTGCAATAAGTGGTAACCCCCAGAACAACTTTTAACTTTAATCCGATTTTTACGTGCAGAAAGCTGGTAGTTTATAGTTTGAAGAGCTCAATTAAGATAGATTAAATAACTAGTACAGACTAAAAAATAAGTTACAAAAACATAATCTTTCTCCATTGATCAGCTTACCGTTTTTCCATTCTCAAGATTTGAAAGATGTAATTAGTATTATTACTTTTTAAAGTTTTCGAATGTCTTTTCATAATTTCTTCTGCCCATGCCAAATTATATCTGTATTTTTATTCATTTTTCTTTCTTTTTACGTTGAAAACATTATAATTTGGTTATTTACTGAACAAAAGAATGGCTGAACAAAGATTCTTCGGCTGAAAGTCAGCGTCAACTGAGCGTCAGCCCCTGAGTGAATATTCACTGTTATTGAAATTTTTAATGATAGAATTTGTAGTTCATATGTTGGTCATCAGATGGATGCACTTTAAATTATTTGTCTGCTGTGGGTTTAAAGAATAAGTTTATAGTTTTTTTTCTTTTTTTTTTGTATTTTTTCCAACTATATATGTTTTGAAACTATAAATGTTCTGCTCTGAAACTATAGCAAATTCTTTGTAGTATCCATTTATATGATTGAAAATATTCATAATTTTGCATAATATTCATAGTTAAAACTTTTAACGCCCTGAAGTAAAAATAGCTTATGTAAAATAATTGTAAATAAATTATGATATGTGCACAGTATTATATCAAAATAATAGTACTCTTTTCCCACACTAAATAAAATTAAATTTTTTAAAATAAAATTTATTAAATTATCTCTTAAAATCAAGTACAAAAGTATACATAATTAAATATGTTTAGTTCTTATTTACTTATAGGAAATGTCGGTTTGATTTAAAAGCTAATAATATTTGTAAACAAATGTCGTAAATAAATTTGTTTCTGAATTGTAACACACAAGTTAGTAAATAATTTATAACTCAGTACTTATGAATGAGAAAAGAAATTTCTTTTTGAGATTGCTGGTGATTAAATTTTTTTTTACTGTTTTTTTAAGCTCAAATGAACTTAATCATCATAGTTCTAATAAACATATAAAATATTTGATACATAAAATGAAATTATTTTAAAAAAAAGTGAAAATCATTTTCTTTAAATCACTATCCGTCATTTTATAACAAACTGATATTTATTTTTAACTTTCCGTTTAAAAAAAAATCCTTAAATATGTATAACTTGCTTAAGGACTCATTTACGCGTTCATTTTTTTTAACACTGTAATAGTTTTATTTTTTTAAAAAGCATGTATGTTTATAAAAAAAAAAAGAGCCCCATCGTTCATAGGGAAAAAAATTATTTATATTTTCTGTCATAGTATTGTTTATCACAAAACTTCTGCTAACTCTCAAGCTCAAAGATACCAATTTTTCACGTAGAGCGCTAGCAGAACGTTCACGCCGAGCGAAGGCCAAATTAACCAATTGTCGCCAAATGCACTTCTACTTCACAATCACTCAAAAATGGTCACTTAGAGATCTTTAAAATTTAAAAATTATACAAGCTAAATTAATGCTGTAGAGCAGTGATTCTCAACCACTGTGCCGCGGCACTTTTGTGTGCCGCCATACATTAGAAATNGATCTCGCTACTCACTTTATAGATTTTGTTTTATACTGTTTTTTCATTTTATTTTATGCGCAATAAATGAAACTTATTGTTTTCCCGTCCTTTTGTTTAACCGTCTAAAACTCAATCTGGGCTTTTACTGTGGCAAGAGAAAATAAGACAGGAAAATTTTGTCCATTGATCAGATTGATCTATATTTGCAGCATCGTTTCCCCATTTTAGGAAGTGTTGGAAAGGCTTAGGCAAGAGTATCCCTGCCCCATATGTTCCACATAAGAATCTACAGGGGAAAAAAGGAGATCCTCCACCAGTGATTATTCGTCTATGAGATGATATGGCGGAAGACGAATAAGATTGTTGTCAAGCATCGATGGGGATAGCAGTCAGGAAATGATGAACGAGATCGCATACCAGATGAAGTCCTAGGAACTATGCCAGTGATTCTCAACCACTGTGCCGCGGCACTTTTGTGTGCCGCCAAATTCTTAAAATGTGCCGCCTAATATTAGAAATGATACAAAAAAAAATTATAATATTTTTTTTTATTACGAGTTAAGTCTAAATTAAAGAAAAGTATATATATATTAACCGCATGAACATTTTGTCGGCGATTGTCTTGTCTCTGACAATCTTAAAATAAGTAAAAATAAGAAGGAAGCGTTTAAATTGTCTTTGGCAATAAAAAAAAAATAATGAAATCAGTAGAAAATTTAATGACTATTAAAATTATTAATTAACAAAAGAAAGAAAGCTAAATATTAACTTTCAAAAGGAAATAAAAGCTAATCATTAAAGTAAACTATGCAATTAATAGTTATAAAAGCAAACTAACAAAGGATAACTAACAAAAAATTAAGCTAACAATTTGATAATTCGCAAAAAAAAACTAGTTAACAAGAAATCGCAAAAAAATAACAGTTAATAACTATAGAAAACAAGTTAACAATTAATGAATAGCAAAAAAAATAAATAACTGTTACTAACTTATAAAAAATTAGTCGAAAGAAATAATTAATCTCTTAATAAATGTGCTTTTGTAGTACATATTATTTTATTTCACATTCAAAGTTATTATCACAAACTATTTAACACAGTGTATTATAGGTTAGTAAAGAACTCTTAAACTAATTTTTTTAATTGTGTGCCGTCAAATTTCGAAATCGTTAAAAATGTGCCGTCACAAAAAAAAGGTTGAGAATCACTGCTGTAGAGTTAAATAAGACTTTAACATCTTTAATCAGGAAACTGAATTTTTTTCCACTTTTTTTCCAACAAGCTAAATTAATGCTGTAGAGTTAAATAAGACTTTAACATCTTTAATCAGGAAACTGAATTTTTTTTCACTTTTTTTCCAGAAGGACTTTTAGAGCTTTTTCTTTTAAGTTTGTCAAATAACATTTGTTTTAAGTTATCTTACTTAATGTGATTGCAATTTATTTTTCAATTTTTCTTTTCAACTTTGTTTAGCGACTGAAGGTAATACGTGCCCACCATCCACAACTCAGAAAACAGACAACTTCGTTGATAAGGTGCTTGATGAAGTCAGACCAAAGCTTTCTGATGCAATCAATCTTCCCGAACGAACTGGCAGATTCAAACTTTTCAATGGCACCTTGGAAAATTTAGGGTCCATAACGAGGATAGGTCCATCCTTTACTCGTTGCTCAGATACTACCTTCAGTTTCCTGGTTCCTCTTAGTCTCTCCAATCTTTTTGCAAAATACGCTTGGCAGTTTCATCCTTTTAAACAACTCCCGTTCTTCAATGGGACAATCAGCATAATTGTTAAAGAAGTTCTAGGCAAAGTTTACTATACCAGAGCAAGGAAAGATTTGGAACAATTTTATGACACCAATCCACCAAAAGCTTTTGTGGAGGAAGTGAAAATTTCCAGCTTGAAAGGAATGCATGTTAGCTTTAATGGTCTTGGGCCATTTAATAGTATTGCATCCAGATTTACGAGTAGCGTGGCTAAATATTTTAGCACTGCATTGTCCCATGTTTTGGAAGGTTTCGTGAAGCGCGTTATAAATGAAGAATTGCAAAACGTTGAAAAATATGAAACTTTTTATTTTTAAAATGTCGTACATGGAATCAGTTAGTAGGATAGCATCGTTATCTGTAATTGTATAAAATAATGGATGCAATAAAAAGATAGTTTTATGTCGGATATAAACAAGATAGATATTTTTTTTAAAAAATATTTCCAGAGGGTGCATAGATCTGAGAAGAGTTGATTTTGCAATCAAATGCCTGAGCAATGAATAGTAATCTTAATTCCCAGTAATCGTTTTTAATAAGATAAATAGCATGGGGAAAAATGAAAAAAATCAATTCTTTATTAAACTAATTTAGGCGAACTTTTTTGCGGATGGAGGAAAAATTTCAAGGGAATATGTCTCCTCTGGAAATTTTTAAAAAAACATTCTCTTTTATATTTGATAAACCCTAGATTATTTTATTTTCACCATAAATTACTTTAATATCATTGATATGTTTTTTAATGATGAATATTAACACTTTTTAAAAACTTTTAACTGGAAAGGAACTGATATTTCTTTTCTTAACATATTTAGTAATATTATATGTTCACGTGTACAATGCTCGAAATAAAAAACCCTCTACCATTTTAACTTTTGATCTAACAATCGTATTTTCACGTACCTAGATCTTAAAGATTCAAAAGACTTGAATTAAAAACACTTATTATTAAGCGCAGATGATATTTTAAGTTACAAAATCAGTCACAGAAACGTATTTTGTCTGAATTGACTTACCTTTTTTCGACTGATTTCGATTTTTAATCCTTAAAATATGAGGACTGTCGTAATCTGGTATATATCATCAATCATCAGGAAAGTGGTCGAATGTTAGTTCTTCTTAATATTAATCTTACTTTTTCCGTATTTCGCCATATCTTTGGAACTATTTAAGCAAATCGAAAACTTTTTGCATGGAATTAAGTAAATTTTGATGAGTGAAAATAGAAAATTAGAATGAATTCTGAAATTAGAATGAAGTTCATGAGAATTAAAAAAAATTAAGAATGTGAGATTTTAAAATTTATTACTCAGAAACAATTAGACTGATTTCAATCAAATCTTATGGTCTGTCATGTAAAATTATATAATTTAAGATCGGAGTTAGTACGACAAAATTGGGTTATTGGATCACAAGTTAATAAGGTGTTCCGCGCAGTACATCATTTGTACATAAGTTTCTAAACATATTCTGGGTGCAATGTAATCCTACAATTAGTTTTTGTAATTCTATGGAAATATTTGCGGTTCGTGGACTCTGGATTTTTCAAATTTCTTTGAAAAATGATTGTGAAATTGAAAAATTGCGCTGTCTTACACATTGCGATGATTCTACTACTATTCCATTTCGACAAATAAGTATTCATCTTTGTCAATTTGCTATATAAGAATACATGTTCAGAGGAAATCAAACTTGACTATAGATAAGTTTCAAAACTAACAAATAAATGCCCGGTACCTTGATTTGTCTAAAACCCACAGATATATACATTGCACGTCTAAAGATTTTTCGCATATCTATAGAGCTATGTTAGCTTGCATATGCTTAAAAATTGTACAATTTCTGTGAATAAAATATTTTATTTTTGACTTAATTCTTTTGGTTTGAAAGTTTAATATCATTTAAGGTGTTCCTATTTCAGACGGTAATGGAAAATTGTTCCATATCAGATATTTTTTAATTTGTCCTATTTCAAATGGTGCGTTTTGAGATGATCATAATTGGTTTATGTATTCAATTTGTGTTGGCAGTGTGCATTATTTTCTTTAAAAAATGTTATTAAATTGACCATCAAAGGAAAATAACAAATATTTTTTATGAAACACAAATTTCACTTTAACAGGCTTATTTGGTTATTATTAATAATCGATAGTTATCTTTATTAGAAAACCAGATTAAGGTATATTAGGAAAAATATCAGTGTAGGACAATTTGAAGGAAAACAAAACAATGGCGTAAGGAATACCGGGTTGGAACATTTAACCTTAAAAAAAACATCAGTGCAAGGAATACTTAGCAATGATCTTTACTCATCAGTGTAAAAATTACTGGACTAGTATAAAACAGGAATGTGTATGGCAATGCTACGCACATTCCTGCTTTGTTATTATTCCCACTAATCCCATAATTATTAATACAGAACGACAATTATTAAAAATAACTACGTCGAAAACAATAATTATAATCTGTACGTCACTGATAATGTGTAATACCCGTACTTTCCATTATATAATCTTTAACTTATTGTATGAAAAAAATTACAAAAAAAAAAAAACTTTTCCCAATAACCATAAAATAAAGGAACATTTAAAAGATTGGCGTACAAAATATATTTTGAAATTCATTTTCAAACCAAACTAATTAGAATTTATAAATATGAAATTACCGTTTCTAGCAAGAATACTAACAACAAAAGTATGCAAAGCGTCATCGCAAGTCAGACATTTTTTTTTTGCAGATATATTTTTTAAGCAAAAGAATTATATATAAATTTTTCGAAGTAATTACTAAGTTATAAGTTATCAAAAACTAAAATTTTCAACCTGAATATACGTTGCCAAATTCTATTAATCTCACAGACGAACAGCAATTATGGCATTCTAATGATTAAAACGAAAAGGTGAAAATTAAAAATTTAAATTAAAAGTACGATTGATTTTAGTTATAAATTCCGAAGTCTCTTGCATAACTCTGCACTTTAAAAACATTTTTAAAATGAAAATTGATTTACTGAATGAAATACTTGCATATGACGTAGTGAGGGTATCTCGATCCTGATTGGTAGTTGAAACGTGGCATTTGTTCACGTTAGCAACTGTTCTTTTCATTCTATTTCGAGTAAGCCAAGCCCTTTAAATATCAATTCAAAGTGACACACTCTATATCACGGTTACAATAAAATGCATAAACAAATAATAAATCCAAGTTAAGTAAAAGACGTAGACGAGAAAGAATTATATATCAATAAATTCGATGTGCGATACAGGGCTGTATTTAATTAACTTCATGTTAATTATCAACTTATATGGAGAAATTTATCTCAACTTTAACACGCCATTTTGCTTATAAGTGATCAGCTGGAGCTGACGCGATAGGTCATATGTGGGGGTATATGTGATCTTCTTCTTGAAGTGCAAGTACCCAATTAGAGCTCTAACGAGAAATCTTGTGAAATTTAATCTTTGGCGTGAAAATATCACCTGTATTCCTTTTCGTACATTTGGCAACAAATCTGAAAAAAATATCCAAATTTATATTTTTAATAATATAAATCACAGCTACCAAAGCGAAATATACATTATGTTTATACAAATTGTTTCATAACAGAAAAAAAAGGAAAAGAAAAGCACTATCTGAATCAAAAATATCAAAATTATGCTTGATTTGCAAGTGACAAATAATATTTTCTTTCCTTTGGGTACCCACCTTGCTAACAAAATGTTTATACATATTTTTTGAAAAGCAAAAAGTATCATTTCCAGTGTTGAAAAATTTACTAGCGCATGTCATCCAAATTTATTATTACTAGCCGCCTTTGACGACCAGCTTTGTCACCTTTCAAAATTATTTTGTACAACCTAAGAAGTGTAATGGTAATCAAGCCGAATGCAAAGAACAGGCTTCAAGCCCTCCACCATATCATAACGCGGTAATTTATTTTCAAACAATATACAGTGAACTCTCGCTACTACGATATCCAATACAACAATAACTCCTTTTATTACGATACTGTTTCGTGGTTCCGACAAACGTTCATATGAATTAATGTCTTGCTCAGCTCTCAATATTACGATATTCTCTGAAGCAATAAGCCTCGGTAAAACGATATTTTTTCTTCCAATTTTTATTTTCTCCATTTATTATTAGTTTTCAAATAATGTAAAAAAAATCTTATTTCGTCATTGTTTTCCATCTTTTCTGACAAGAGAAGACTCACTGCTGACCACCCCAAGAGCTTCCATTCTTATAATTAATTCCCTTATCTCTTTAAGAAGTCACAGATGTAACATTCCTACCTGATTTCATTTCCTTTATGTTGAAAGCTGATCATGAGTCACAAATGACCACAAGCATCACATTAACACCTGAAAGAGAATTTTTTTTTGTAGAGGGTGGATGGAGCCCCATTCACAAACGAAAATCATTTTCGTGCTTTGGACTCAAGGCATACTTTGTTGGTTGACTTGGCAGTCAAAAAAATGAATAAACAAAAAAAAAAAATATCAGATTATTTTCAATAAAAACGGTTTTCAGGTATGTTTACGATCTTATTTTCTGAGTTTATTTCGATTGTTTTTAATATTTAACCATAATTAAGACTCTGCAAATTAATTTTTTATATACATTTATGGTTAATTATAGCTGTTGTCATTATATGCTGCTCAGAAAAGGCAAGCTCCGTCCGTCACCAATGATATGAGTGTTACGATAATCTGCGGCACTATCGCATCGTTTATGTTTAAAATTTTTACAATTTTAGAAAGGTTAAAGAATGAATCTAAATAATTACTTCGTAATTAAGATTCTATTTGTCTAAAAATACAAAATTATTCTAAAGATTTACTTTGCGTATAACTTATATTACTTCAGAGGACGCTGTACCACGGGAGTAACTTTTCATCACTAATTTTTTTTCAAATCCATAAGTAATTTACAATTTATAGTATAGAGAAAGAGGGTTTAGACAAACCTAGAGTAAGCCATGAAGTTTCAAATGTTGAAAAGATACTGAAATACTGAGGTTACAGAATGAAAATAATTTATGAGAAGGATTGCGCTACGGGATACTTCTCTTCCATTAATTTCTTCCCATTTTCAATTTTTTTTCAGCGATTGAAACTTCATGGTTTGCTCTAAGTTTGACGGAATTCATTTTTTCTATGCTTTAAAGTTTAAATTAGTTATCGAGATGAAATAGAATTTCAGACGATAAGATTCTCCCGCGATATGGGGTCTTCTTAAAACAACCTATCAAAATGAATCAGAGTAACTACTTTAAGTATAACTATTTTTTTTTCCCACACTACTTAAGTTATTACTTAGGGCAGCCTAGCAAAATGAATAATAATTGAAGTGTTGACAATAGATAGAGAAACACCCGAGTTTATAGAGCCACGTAAGATAAATATATTGCATAAATAGATAATATTAGCATTAAGTTGGTTGAAAAATGTATCTGGATTTAAATTAGCTGAATGTAATTCAAGGTAAGTTGCACGTTTTGTGGCATTTCTTACGCCATAAAATGTGTAACTAACCTTGAAATACAGTTCTTCTATTTTTTTTAAAATCTAAAATGCGTGAAAAACATATTTGCTTAGTGCTAAAATTCCTTTTTTATAAGGAGCTGCAATGCAAATAATGAAATCCTTAAATCAAATAATGAAATCATATATAGTTTGTCTAAGCTAAGAACTCCTCCTGCCCCAAAGTCTGAGGCCGTCTGGTGGCGTGGAAACAAGAATGGCGCATATTAGGGAGGGTAGCTTCACTCTAGGACTGACACAATAGACCCAAGAGATTTCCTTTCTCGCACCGACCCGAGCCGAAACCACTTTAAAGCAGTGACCCTGCACCCCTACTTGGAATAATCAAACCTCGTTACCACAGTCACCGCCACAGGTCCAGACGAACGTCCGGGGGAGTTCTTATTTTAGACAAACTATATATATTATTATTATTACTTATAATGAACAAAATTTTAAAATATTATATACATTTAGGAATTAAATATATTCTTTACACTTACATTTAAAGAAAACTATTTATGCATTATTTAACATTAAAGAAAACTATTATTATTAATATTATTATTATTAATTATTAATAATTATTATTATTAATATTATTATTGTTAATTATTAATATNTTTCGTTCCAGAAATTGTTCAACGAGAAAGTATGACCTTATTAGTTATTTCGATATTAATTATTACTTATTGTTATAGATTAAAATTATAAATTATTAATATTATTATTATTAATTATTAATAATTATTATTATTAATATTTTGAATAAAAATACACTCTAGAAAAATCTCTGCATTTGCACTGTGTAAAACTTAATCCTTCTGCATCTAAGAAATTTAAAAATATTCTAAACATTGACATTTAAGGAAAACTAATACTTAGTTGAAAATTCTAAATACTAAAGACTATACTAAAGAAGCATTTACATATAATATTTGTATTTAAATGAAAATAAGAGATTTAGACTCTTTTGAATCTTTCCAATGGTTTTCCAAAATTATATTTGCTTTTCTTTTCCATTTCTTTACCCCTTCCAACGATAATACACAACTCTTTTCAAGAGCAACTAATCGAAAACACATTTAAGAATATTGAGAATGCCCCACGTATTCACTCACTTTTGCATGTCACTAGAAAAAGTTCATTCTTTTCATGAATTTTACAGTAGTAAATAATCCTCTAATAACTGCATTGAATTTGTTTTTGATTTGGTAGAGTGGAAAGAAGGAAGAAATGGAGGAGAGAGGTAGAATATGGAACTGTTTATGGCTTTTGTGAAAAGACAGTATTAGGCAAGAGAATTCAGTGGTGCAGTTGATTTGTTTCTCGATACTCTTGTGTAATTGTGGGTTTTGGTGATCGAATTTTCCTGAAAAAGTCAAGGTTCAAAGAATGAATTTACAGATGAGAACACATGAATGGGAAACATCAATTCAATCGGGTAAGTTTTCCTTTTAACTTTTTACGATGATAATTTGAGAAAATGAATGAATGAATGAAATGGGGGAGGGGGTAAGCAACTGCTATTGATAAAATGTTCCCAGCATTGTCAATTTTATAAAGGATAGAAGAAATGCTACATGCACGTTTTATTTAAAAATAATAATAAAATGAAGAGTTTGATTTGTCCAAAAATCTGTTAAATAAAATCATTATTAGTCATTTCTAAATCTTTGAATCTAAACCTAAAAGAATCAGGTGATAAAATGTTTTCATCTTTGTCAATTTTACAAAAATAAAATGAATGTAGCTCGCACATTTATTTAAAAATAATTACAAAGTGAGCTTGATTTGTTCGAAAATCTGTTGTTCCATTATCAATGAAACTGTTTAAATCATTATTAACCACTTCTAAATCGAATTCTTTCCTTTGATTATAAACCTAAAAGAATAAGGGGCTAAAATGTTCTTATCATTATCAATTTTATAGGAGATAAAAGGAATGTAGCATGCGCACTTATTTAAAAGTTATAATAAAATAACAAGTTTGATTTGTTTAAAAATATAAAATTCCATCATTAATGAAAATGTTAAAATCATAATTAAAAATTTCTAAAACTAATTATTGCTTCTTTAAATCTAAATCTAAAGGAATCAGGCTGTAAAATGTTCTCATCATTGTCAGTTTTATGAATAATAAAGGGATTGTAGCATGCACATTTATTTATATTAACGTAATAATAAAATAACGAATTTGATTTAGAATTTTTACTTTTGATTTCTGTTTTTAGTATAGTGAATAGAATAATTATCAATAAATTCATTATCAAAGAACTTGAAGAATAAAATATGAAGCTGTATAATCTTTATACGCAAATTTTTTATATCAACGCAAAATGTATACGCATTTTATGTAAATGCAAAATTTTAATTAACTCAAAAATTCATAGAAATTATCAAAAAATTCCAGTGAAGTTTAAAAATCTGCCTTTTAACTTAAAATAATAAAGCTGCTTTCTTTAGTATTCGCTATTTCTAGAGGTCAGTTTCACTGTGTTTTCTTCTTCTTCATATCTTGAGTTTTGGATTACACCAAATCAAGAGGATTAACATGATTCACAACTTTTTCTATTCTATGATTCAAAAATAAAATATAAACACGATAAAAATGCGTAAAAAGATAATATGTATGTAAAAATGAATGTCACTAGTTACAATGGATGGTGACATGCCAGTTACCCATCAGAAACCCAATTCCAAAACTGGTTTTTGTATTTTCATAATTTGGAAAGTTAGTAAGAACCGCAAAGTTCTAATCAGGTATTTATTACAAGCTTCTAGTATTTATATTTTAAGATTTTTCTCAAGCAAACTGGCTGCAATACCGGCACTTATTACTAAAAAATAACAATAGTTGCAAATATAAGGATGAAAATATCATAGTTTTAGTTAACAGTAATTTCATTTCACCTGAATTATTTTGTTATTCCTGTTACTAATTAAATAAATATCTCCCATTAGGCTTTTTGATTGATTTTTAAGATTGACTCAACTTTATTTTTATTTCGAAATTTTCAGTGACCTTTTATGATAGTATGTTGAATGGACCAGTATAGACCAAAAGTTCGTAAACGCGAATTTTCAAACTAATTTTTATTTAATTTATATTTATTTATTTATAAGAGCACTTTGATGTGTTCTTACACCATTTTCTAAATTAAAAAAATAGTTTAGATTAAATCCTATTTTTAATTAAATATCTTATTAAATTAAAATAAAAGTTCCTTTCTGGGTAAAAAATGTAGAAAAATGCAAAATTTCAATTATTTATTAAAATTTTAAAGAAATAATTCTTATCATAAGACACGTTAACGCAATATTTTCTTTGTATTTTGCCGTTTCGTGTTTACTAGCCTCATTATATTTTAACCATGTATTTAATGAAAAAATATTAAAAATTACAAAAATCTATTATCTTGTCAGTAATTAGGTTAATATGACTAATAATCAAGCGTTTTAAGATCAAGAACATGAGCACCTTTCAAACTTATGTGAAATCCACAAATTTTAATAGATTCTCATTGCCACATTTATTACACAATAAATCATTAGAGATGTATCTATGTGTTGGTATCTATGTGTATGCATCTGATGGCAAAGAGAATAAGAAGCCACAGTCTGAGAATGAAAAGTCACAAAGAAGTCACAACACATGGGAATTCATAAATTAAAATTAAAAAAAAGCTATATCAATAGAATAGGCAACTTTTAATTCGCACCTTAATTTTATGATATGAAAGATGTAGCTTATTTATAAATAATATATTTTACCAGTGTTGATCATGACTATTTAATGCTAAGAAGTAATAAAGAAACAAATTTTTTTTCTGGTAAAAAAAATAGCGAAAATTAAATTTGCTTTTTCTCGCTCCTTTTGCTTTTGAATTTTATTTCCCCAATCGTATCAAAAAATTGAAGGCCTAATTGAACAATGTCATGCCTGAAATGAAAGTGATACAGGCTTTTATTTTACTTATTTATTATTAAGTTAGATAGCAAAATGTTTATTTCATTAGAAAACTCAGTGGGGTTTTTCATTAACTCAATGACGTTTTTTAAGCACTGTATCATTAGTGAAATGCTTGTAACTTACCCAGTAGAAGTGACGTAGTTGATAAAAATAAATAAAAAATAAAATAAAATAAAAAATAAAAAATGTGTTATCAAAAAATCATGGTCATGTTATTCATTCACATCCTTTTGAGAATTTCAGGCGTGAGGAAATGAAAACAAAGTAGTTAAGGAGAGTAAGTTTTGCCTTTTGTTTTCTTTTGAAATCTATCTATCGCTCTTAACTCGTTTGACATGCGGCAAATATTCGTTGTCATTAGAACTATCTACAATACAAAAAAAATTATTTGTTTGTGTTTTCGTTTTCATTTGGTAAACTACATAGATATACTGTAAGTGAACATGCAATACTATATTAAAATAAACCAACAACTAACCAAAGGTGTACAGAAAATATTTCACTCTGTATTATAAATAATATATTAGCAAATTATGAAAATATAACTAATAAACCTTTTGCTGCTTTGATGTTAAGCGTCGTGAAATTTTAATTTTTTAAGTTACTGAAAGTAAGTTGCTTACATTTTCATAAAATTTTATTAAAAAGGGTTGAAACGTATTTACGTATTTAGAGGCGTATTGCAAAATGTCATAAAACTAAAAAAATCTAAACTTATATGAGATTCCAAGAGAGAATTATGTTTACAATTAACTGCATTTAATAAAGCATGTATTGAATGTTTGCAGATTAAATTAATTAACCCTTCTCTTCTAATATTTAAAAAATTGAAAAAAAAAACTATTTTATAATCATACGTACGTAATCAATGGTAGCAGCTTTATAATTGAGAACTTGATAATTGATAATTTTTTTAAGAAATGAATGCTTATAAGTAGTTGATGTCGAAAAATCTTTGTCCTAAAAATCTTTGTTTCATTATTTAACTATCACCAATAGTATACCATACTCTAATGGATAATATTGCAAAATAAGTGATTGACCTTTATATATTGAAACCATCATGATAGTGAAGTTAATGAGATCGTATGAAAATTCTAATAGCTATGTATCAATTTGACAATATAGAATTAAAGTTAGTAAGCTAGAAACTACAATATCAGGATTAAGAGTATTCACGGACTTCGAATATTTTAAGTAATTTCTAAGCAAAAAGTTTAAGCAACACTGTTAGGAATTTCAGAAGCGGATTGAACTATAATATTTTTAAATTTGTTGGGACCTTAATATGGTGCTAAGTTAAACCATATCAAATCTTTAACACATTAACTATAAGTTAATCGAATACCTTTTTCGAAATTCGACTACTCCTTACCGGTTCAACATGAATAAAAACAAGAGTTAATTTAACACTTTATTGCGGTTGCAGCAAACTTTTTATTATGTTCAAGGTACCGGTAGTATGGTTCAAAATAGACCCGATTTCTTTTTTTTTTTTTTTTTTTTGGAGAGTACCTTTTTCTTCTTACGACTTAAGCAGAACAAAAGTCAATAATTCTGCCTATCATTACTATAAAAATTGTATAGAACAGTTCTTTATAAGTAAACTTTGAACAATAAGTTTTAGATTTGAACGAACGACATGTATTTAAACTATTCTATCAACGGTATCCTTGACAAAACTATAAATTACAAGATATTCGGAACAAAGCAGATAATAAAACTTGACAAATTCACGCATGTATCTTTTTTTTCTTCCTTTGAATATTATATTTCATCTTTTGTGCCCGAATAACTGCAGTTGTATAGATGTAAACTTTCATTCTTCTTTCATAAAATCATTTTTATGCTGAAAAACGGAGTAACTGATTATCTCATTTCCACACAAATAAAGATCGTCCGGTATTTTTCTCAACCTGTTATTATATAATGAAATGAGATATTTATTATATATTAATATATCCCAGTGCGCGTGAGTCACTTTCTTTTAATTAAATAATGTAGATTAAGATCTACTAGAAGTATGGAGGGGACAGTGCTTATTTTGAATGACGTCATTTCCTGAGAAATCTATCTCCCCCACCCATCAGAACAAATAATCATACATCACTGTAAATTGGTACTTTTTCTGAAAAGATAACCAGCAACGGGTGATAATATAGCCAGTTTGAAAGCTTTTCTTAAGGTAAATAATTTTATTAAGTATATTTTGTTAGCAATAAGTTAATTTAATTGAGTATTTCATTCTATACAACTTTATTAACAACTATAATTTTAATTAATTTTGTACTTGTATACTGATTGCTGTATCAGTGACATGCTGGATTAATATTAACCAAAATTGCTCATTTTGTTAATATTAATCCAGCCTTCGTGTTATCAGTCTAATTATAAATGTATTTATACTGAAATAGAGACAATATGAGAAGAATGAATGGAAAAAAAACCATCGTTTTAACGTTTCAACAGTTTAATGCACTATATATTATAGTAAAAACTGATATTGTATTTTAGTCGTGCTGCTGGCATATTCGTAATGGGCAAAACTTGAAACATAGATTTGTAAATCGATTGTGTTTGTTTGCTTTGAAAGATGTTATTTCAAAAAGGTATTTAAATGTAACTGAAGTTTTTATTTCTTTTCCCCAATTCCACTCGTTTTATCGAATAATTATACACTGAAAAAAACAACGATGTACTATCTCTCCCAATTTGATGTTGAACAACCCAAAAAATTGTGTGAAAGAACTTTTTTTTTAAAGTTAACACCCATCCGAGCTGTCATATACTTTTCAATGGGTGTAACTGAATCTTAACTCTTTTAAAGGTAAAAACTTTCACCAAGCTCATGCGTAGTTATACCATGCGTTCAATATTTTCGCTTTCAAAAACACCGATGTTGGCGCGCTAGGGATATCGTCAGTAGATTTTTTACATTCGAATGCAAGTTGGCGACAGTTTATCTTCAACGCATATACAGAATATTCAATGCATAAACATAAACAAAAGTTCGGTGTTAAAATATGTATGAATGGGTTTAGTTGTATAATAAGGATATTTATATTTTAAGTTACTATAAACTGTATTGAATAATTTCAAAATGAATAATTTTTATCTACTTCGGTTCCATTAAGTTAAGTTTGAATTTGTGTCAAAGTTCTTTTGGTGCGACACATATGTTTGATTTACAAACATATTTCATTTCAAGAATTAGGGTTTATGGGAATCCTATATAAATGGTTCGTACTTTATATTATCACGTAAAAATATTTATACCGATTCTTACGTGCACATTATTTTACTATAATTAAAAAAGTTTGTATTAGGGGAGAGTGGGGTCAATTGTAACAGGATACGATTGTAACAGTGCAAAAATTTCGAGTGTCAGGTTCTAGATTTGGTTCCTAGGTGGCGCACAAGGTGTATTTAATAAATCTACATGTACACCCCTGCTGGCAACCATTTTTATGTACTTTTGAAAGAGTTACATCACAAAAGATATTTTCACGCTACGTAAGTACTTTTTTTGGTATTAGAATATTATATTGTAACAAAGTAATTTTGTTTAAACAAATAAAAATTATTAGCCGAATATGTAAGTGGACACCTTAATTAGTATTTCAAAAAAAAGAAGATTAGTTTTGTTAATTAACTAGCATTGTTTTTAATAAATGAAGCTGAAATGGCGTCTTGGGGACGATTGTAACAATAAGTAAAGGGAGGATTGCAACAGCTGAAAATAAATAATCTTATGTTTACAAACCATTACTTAACTCTTTAAGAACCAACAATAGTTTCCTATATCATTTATATTATGCTGCATGTGCATTATTTTATTTCTCACCTTTCACAGCATAAATTAAAATTTTTAACCTCTTAAATTTAAAAGTTTAACCCTTTAGGTCTCTGCTCATTATTATTTTTACTCCTAAAATATCACTACTATTTTAATCAATAAAAAAATATATCACAACTATGATAATATGTATAATTAACTGTGTTTTAGTTGAATTTATGAACTGTTACAATTGACCCCGTAAGTGGGGACAATCGTAACAAGTGCACGACTGTCAGAAATTGTTAATAACTAATATAATAACATTTAAAATAAGGTATTTATTTTTTTTTCTAGTAGAGGATAACCTACTTTACTCGTCTGTCAATTAATACTAATAATATATTGGATTTTTTGTTAGTTAAAAATAGTTAAGTGAAAAATGCTACAATTGACCCCACTTTCCCCTACTGAATGCCACAAATGGTGGCAGCTACTTTTCACCAAGTAGTGTAAAAATAATTCTTGGTGTTTCTTTCGCCAGAAACTGCCCTTGGTTCTGCTCCACTTAGATGTAAATTACCGTTTTTGGTATTAAGATACACTAAAAGTGTTTAGAATGTAGTGCAATGCTCTTAAGTGTACAGTGCACGAAAGAAAAGGGAAAAAACCGGATCATTTAAAAAAACTTTTGGTCTAATGATCAGATCTTTACGTTCTAGGAATCAATCTTAATGATTTGAAGGCCTTAACCTAAATGATGCTAATTAATTAGAACAGATGATATTTAAAGTTACAAAATCAGACACAAAAAAGCAGATTTTCTCTGAATAAACGTACCTTTTTTCCTACTTGATTCGAATTTCAGTCTCCCGAAATGGGTAGAATCTGAAAAATATGGTCCTAATAGTTAAGTCAAGAGAGCGGTTCAAAATTTGTTAATTAATGTTAATTTTCTTTCTTTTTTCTTAGTATTTCGCCATATCTCGAGAACTTTCTAGGTGAATTGAAAAAATTTTGCACATAGTTATAAAATTCGTTTATGCAAAGGTAATTTCCATGCAAAATATAACTGTTAGTAAATATTTATTACTTTTTTTATCTGATAATAATCGAAAGAATTTTGAATTTAAAGGTACACAATTTTGAAGAATCATTTCGAAGAATGTATTTTTGCATGGAAAAATACAAAATTTGAGCAAAACCGTCGACTAGTTCCTGAGAAATCGAATTTTAGAATTTCATTATTGTCGTTGTTAATAAACTAAGCTTCATATAATTATTTGATGATAAACTTAACTTACGTTATCTTAAATACAATTTTACATCAAAATATTAAAGCAAAAATAATAAAAATAAGTTTTAATCATATAAAATTTTAAATTTTTGCATAATAAATTTTAATTTTTATGATTTTAGGGACATGAGAATCAACCAATAAGTGATTTCTTATATTTCGTTTACAATAAAAACACATAAACGTGTAATTTTTTCGAATAAAAATTTACTCATTTGAAATAATTAAATATTGATAATATAAATTAAAATAATGGTGATTGAAAGAAAAATATTGTAACATATAATTTTTTTTTTTGCAGTGTCAAAATGATGACGAAAATGACTGATTTTAGAATCAGACAATTGATGTTAGTTTTGATCTATTACATAATTTCATTGGCAGGTAAGTGCTTTAAATTTTTTTAATATTATCTTCATGAGCAAAAGATCTTCACGAGCAAATCGTGTTTTAGTATTTCTTTGCTATCTACTATGCGATCACTCATATAATCGACACACCAACCAACAAATCGATTCACATTTTTTCTGTCACCTAAATGATTCATTTTTAGATTTTTCTACGTTTAGAGATAAAAATGAAATACATATGTCTACTGATGTAAACTAATCCTATGTATATAGAATTGAAAATAGGAATATACGCGAGGAGTCACAAATTAGTTTTTATAAAATTTATTTTGATTTTTGTCGATGTCTCAGTCCCAAAATTGACGGATGATTTGAAAAATTAGCCAAAGAAAAAGGAGAAATTTACGCGTTTTGCTTAAGAAACTGGATCATTTTCTTTTTACTAAGTTTCAAATTTAGGAACAAATCTCGCGAAAAGATGGATTGTTAATTAAATACTATAAAACAATGTTTTCTACTGCAGGCTAGAACAATTAAATTGAATTATTTGCACATTCGCTTGATAAAATTAACGCACATGCGTAAATTTTGCTCACTTCGTAGTTGCTTTAAAATTATTTATTTATAATTTTTCTCAGTTAGCAGTGCCATCTGTAGTCAAACTTTATAACGAATTTCGAAAATTTGTAGGAGGAAATTCTTCTTTTCTATGTAAAACGCAGTAACTGTACTCATCCATCTCCGTTTGATTTTCTTCAATTGATTTTCTGTTTGTCGGTCGTTTTTAGAATACCCGAAAAAAGTTATCTTTTATTGACTTATTATCTTTTAAATAACCATGTTAGTTTACATTTTCAGTTTAACTTAATATAACAAAGCAGTAAATAAAAAATTACAAAAATAAATAAATAAATAAAGTATTTTATCATAATAATATAGATGGCTAGTGTGTGTATTGCTTTACAAGACTCAATGTTACTTCTTTTACAGCAAGTGAGAATGAAGGAACAAATTACCTATTACGTGAAAAGCGAAACATATTATGTTATCTTGGAGTAAATGAAGTTTTGAAGAGTGTAAGTAATGAGTATTTTCTTTTTGTTGGTTTCTAATTACATTTTTTAACTTCTTCACAATATACGATTTGAATTGTAGATCAGAGTAAATTGTCGTTCCATTTTTTTTCCAAGTGCTCACTTAGTAATGACATACAGTCAAAATGTTTTGCAAAATAAGCTTAAGACTCAGACATCAAATTTTTAAAGTGATCTTTTTTTCAAGTAACAAAATATATTACGAGTAACTTATAATTTTTATCTTAAGCGGAAAACTCGTAGGAAATTAAAAAAAAAAAGGAAGAAAAAAACACACATTTTTTTTACACTAAATATAATTTAAAAGTTTTCACAACTTGCAGAAATGAAAAAGATACTACGCATTATTGACAGGAAAATAAATTGGAATACTCATTCATGAATTGTGAAGACTGAATTGTGAAGGGTACAAGGGACGTTGAAATTCGAATAAAATGACTAAATTTTCAATTTTGAGATTTTACTTTATATTTGAAGTAGGAATCATAAGCTTTAAATTAAAAAAAAAAGAAAAATTAAAATCTGATCTTTTTTTCCCGAAATATAAGCTTTTTTTTAGTATGACCACACCCCTTTGCAGTTGCATTTGGCGTAAGTTTGCAAAAGAAGTGTTTATCTCCAAAAAAAAGATTAGAGCTTGGCGTTATTGCTGCAGTTGCAGAGTACAATTTAGGCTATGTTGAGACATAAAAATTAAAAAATCAACATAATTATCAGAGCTCTGTACCAGTTGCTGAAAGGAAAGATTGCAAGTCAAGTCAGAAAAAGCGTGCAAGTCAGAAAAAGCGAAAATCCTCTCAAAAATTCAAGGAAGAGAAAAATTCAAGAAAATATAAAAAAATATCATTAGAAAAGAAATCAGTTAAAAAAGAAGGGTTGACATATTCTGCAGGCGAATTTTGAACATTAAATTAAGTGTTAAGAGTAATATATTTGAAATATGTTTAAAAATGTGTTATCACATCTTTCTCGTTTTCTCTTTCAAGTATTGTAATAACATTGTTATTTTGGATTATTTTTCATTTGAATATTTTTAAATACTATATAATTTCTGATGAGGTTAATCATAAGTATTTTACACATATTTAACACATTAAAAATTTATTATTCAAGCAAAAAATAGTGTATTATTGTGTGCAAATTTTAAAACTGGCTTTTTCTCAAAATCAATATTCTGGTAAATTTTGTGTTTTCGAAATGCTCCATACATTTTAATTTTTATCTGTTTTTAATTATATTTCATCAAATTGCTCGTTATACATGTCTAAATGAAAGTTGCGATGCATTATAGGTTTAACTCGAGTAAAAAAAATTATTTAGTCACAAATGAAAATTCTTATGTAACTATTTTAGTTAAAATTATGTGTTTTTTAATATTTCATTATTGTTTTAAAATTAAATTTGTTTAAACGTTATGAATTATCGCAACTTTTGTTTAGAAATATAATAAAAATCTTGTAACAAAAAATTAACTTCCTACTTTGCTTTTCCGAACAAATGGAGCATTTCAAATATTTCCTTTTTTAGGTATTTTAAAAAAATTAAAATTTAATTTATTTTTCAACTAATTGAACAATCATCACCAAACTTCATGCTTAGTCTGTTTAAGATGCAACAACTAAATGCTGTAAANTATATATATATATATATATACACAGAAATTATTATTTACATCATTAACTTTTGCGGTGGGTCAGGTAATACCTTCAAAATAAATTGGTACACATTCATTTTTATTTTCATAAAATTAATATTTTTAAGTATTTTGTAAAGAAAAAATTCTTAAGATGCTTTGTCAGATGGTTTGGTATGACATTGTTCACTTTTTGTCTCAGATACAAAATTTAATTTTATTAATTTATGGATCCCTTAATTTTGTCACAAAGTAAAAAATGATTTCAATTTTTTTTAATGGGGCTCATACGTCATGATTCAAAGTTGGTGACATCGATAATTTATTTATCTTTAATTTTCACAAATTGATTACCATTTACTTTATGAAATATTACTAATTTTATTAATATTACCTTATTGTAATATCTTTAAAAAAAATATCATACATAAATCTTAGTGAGACAAAGTTTTGCTTAATAACTGAGGCAAATAAGCTTTAAATCCGGATAATACTTAAGGGCGGGTTTTTTTTATATTTAATTTCAATTCTATTAGTGCAAAATAGGTTTAAAAAAATTTATCTAAGTTAGAAAGACTCAACTGGCTTATTTCATGATTTCCTTCATCTAAAAAGATGAATATATACGTTTAACTTTTAATAAACAATAAAATATAAACTTCTTTAAAAATCCGATCATTCCTTTAAAAATAATAATAATAATAAAAACTTGATAAAAAAATAACAGAAATTGTTTTCAAAAATCGTTCAGTTAAATTTATAATTTAACTTAAATATGATTTAATTTTTTTTTCTTACTTGCAGACGATTTTTTTAGCCAGAATTTTTTTTTCTTCCATTTACTCATTTTTCTTCATGAAATAGAAAAATGTTTATTTTAGATCTGTCTTAATAAAATTTAGATCACTAATTCACAATTTATAAAGCGGCTGTTGCAAGTAACTGGGCCACAGTATAATTTTTGCTTCTTTGCATTTAAACCGAAAATGCCTTATACTATTTTGTATATTTATATTAAATTTTGTGAAATCAGAACGGAAACACTAAACATTATCAGAAAAATTTGTTGTATTACTTGAAAAGGTTGGAAAATTCATATATAATTTAGGCTGGAAAATTATTAGGAAAGAAAGAAAAGAAAATTGTAGAATTCTGAACTTATTAGATTTTTTTTTATTTTTAAAAAGAGTATCTTGCACTTGTATTAACAAAAATAATAGTTGCATGCAATTTAATTGATTAATAAATATTGAAACTGAAGTTTTCATCCTGAATCAACCGAACGCTTGGAAGGTCCTAAAAGAAATAGCTTAAAAAATTATCTTGAAAAATGTGTTACTGTTAACATAAGATGAATCATTAGAAATGTTCATAAAAAGCGATGCTAGACATTTATTTGTTTAAAGTTTGTTACTTTCATTGTCAAACTAAAAACAACAGTAAGAAAAGACGTCAGCGCAGCTATTTTATTTCTCTCGAATTATTAAATTAAGTCTAAATGAATATATTTTTTCTATTGTTTGTTTAATTTAATTTAACATTAATTTTTGTTTGTTTAATTTAATTTCTTACTTTTATGAGTTTTGAAACGGAGAGAGAAAAAAAAAAGTCCACTAATTTATAAACTTATTATCTTCTTATAGTATTACTCATTTATAAAGTTCTGTTTCAAATTTTATAAACTAACAAAAAGTTTATCGAGCTACAAAATTGGGGGGGGGGGATGAGGGAAATTACCATCTGCTAGTTTCGCTAATCAACCTCCAAACAGCTCTTTTACAAGGAAAACAATTAATTAGCAAATGAGCAAACGGAACTATTAGCTTAGCAAATGAGTGCAGAGATCACAATGAAAAAGGTAGCAGAAACGCAGACATTCATGCTTATAGAGACAAAAAAAAAAAAAAAAAAAAAAAATCGGAATTCAAGAGTTAACATACTTTCAGTTAACTTTAACTAAATTTTTTGATAATTAACAGTTACTATGCGATTCATTGGAGGACTTACATAAAAATGACCCATGAAATGAATTGCGGAAACGCAGATTGCCATGTAAGTTAAGATCGAAAAAAGCGCCCTATCCTCAAGTCAAAATAAGAATTTATTGAAACGCATCTAAATTGAGTTTAGAAAAAACTTCCAGTGAACTAAAATAGAATTTTTCGTAAAATAATAGATTCATTGTAGGACCTAAACAGAAACGCAGATTGCCATATTAATTGAAACTAAAAAATCTCCACTCAAACTGAAATCGGAATTTTATATCAACAGGTGCTGTATGATTCATTGGAGGATTTGCACAAAAATGATCCCATAAAGCTCGGAAACTCAAGCAGCAATAAATTGGAAGATGGTGTTTTGCAAGGATTATCCACCCTTACCAACGTTTCAGATTTAAACGTCGAATGTGAAGATGATTCACTTGTCTTTTCTACTATACTTGGAATGAAAGATGCTGTTGTTCATTTTAAATGGCATCGAAAATTCCTAGTGAATTTAGAGGGGACCGTTTGGAGCAGAGCGGATGAGGTTAACTTTGATGTCCAGGTTAGACTGAATATAACAGAGGCCATCAGGTTTGATGTTGATCGAGTTTTAGTTACTAAACTGGAAGGTTTTCGCTTTGGTTTTAGTGGTCTAGGACCACTTAACCCACTGGTAAAGGGCTTTGTAAAAATAATGCAGAAAATTTGGTCGACCAAAATTACAAAAGTCATACAGAAACTCTTGAAGAAAGCATTGGAGAAGCAACTCAGTAAATTAACGTTTTCTTTTTAAGCGCATAGTTCATTGGTGGCTTTGTGATTTTGAGACAGATAGGTCTTCACAGACTTCAATTTTTAAGTTTATTCTGTTACAGACAATTGATAGACTTTATGAACGGGTATAAATTATTGGACGTGGAATCCAAAACACAAAGACACTCATTATAAATAAAATCGGTGGTAAACTTCATAAAGACAAAAACAAAGCTTGAAAAATACTAGTCTTATGAAAGACTTAGTTTCATCTTAAATATTCAGCTTTGTATGAAAGAGTTTGTAAAAAAATTACCAGGAGAATAATTTCTTCCTTTTTATAATAATTTCTTATAACAATAAAATTCTTAATTCTTCACCAAATAAAAAATTAATGAAAAAAATTATCAGAATAAAAGAAAAAGATCAAAACGTTTTCTTTTTTGTGATGTAACTTCTCATATAATATAATAATATATAAGAATAAATTAGTTACCAAATTGTACTTTAAACGGAATTTTGAAAATAACTCTGTTTTAATCAATTATTGTTAAATAACATAATAAATATATAATACTTCTAAATTCAATTTTAAAAAAAAACTGAATGCAAAACATCTCTTAAAATTGGGTAAAAAATGAAATAAGTATTTTTGTTTGAAGTATCCGTAAAAGATTACCTTAATTTAATGATGGTTTTGTTATTTTTTCTGATTAACATCGTAGATATATTTCAACTTGGTTACAAACATGTTGTTTCAATATATGTTTTTTTAAAAATTTTTTATAACTTTTCTTCACACATCATGGTGTATTAGGGGAAAAAAAACCCAATGAAATATAACTTAATATAATTCTTCGCAAGAAAATCAAATCTAAATCTGAGTTCTTAGACAAATGTCATTCTATTTTGAAAATTGAAGTTATTTTTTAAAAACTTTAATTGAGACTGGTCCATTATCATTGAAACGGCAACGGCATGACTAAGGCATTGTAGCCTATTTACATACTAGACATGCCGGTACCCATCAATCTGAAACTGGGTGAGCTTTAAGCTGCCCACTGGGGATTGAACTCCAGTTCTTCACAATGGCATTTCCATGACTTAATCACTAGGCCATTCCAAGATCTGACGACAAGAACTGAATGAAGAAATGCTCTAGAAAAGGCCAAGGCCCACCCTAGGTTATCATTTTAATGATGGTGCTGATTTCTTTGAATTGAATTGAAGATATGGTTTATTGACACAAGATCCAAAAAGGACATGCTGCATCAAACACACGGTTCTATGATGATTTAAAAACAAAACTCTCTAGTAATATTCATATGGTTCAAAAGAAAAATCAAGAAAAGACACATGGCTATTAAAATATATTTCTTTAATGAGGAATATTTCCAATATTACAAAGATTTCACTGTAACCCGAAAATATTCAAAGGACACTTAAATGATGTACAATTCTAAACAGCAATTGAAAACAAAATTTTTTTTCGAAAAAATGGTCTCTTAAGCACAGTTGAAGTGCAATACACACAGTTCAAGAGAATAGTGCAAATAATATATCACGGTTTTCTATAGATGAGTGTAATGATCTTACTTTGAAATGGAATGTGGAAGCACTACTCATCAACTCAGTCTGGACGGTATAGGAAACACAGCTGCCATTTTTTCAAGCATTTGTTTTTAAATTAACCATAGAATTGATAGAAGTCATAATTAAGTTGCAGATGTAGAAAATTTTAATAAAATTAGATTGTTTCTCTTTTAAGCCTTATTTTCAAAGAAGTTGTTAAAATGTTTTAATAAATATTATTATTATTATTTTTTGTTGTACAGAAGTAGACTTAAAAATTCTGATAATAACCATTATAGATTTATGAAAAATTTTATGAATTTGAAATTTTAGCTTTTAAGCTTTAAAATGTAATTAATTGAACTTTTGGGAAAAAACAATTCTAAGATTTTCTTTTTAAAATTAAAAAAAAAATATGCAATTTATTTTGAAAATTTTATACTTAGTTTAATATAATAAACTATAGTTAAATGTTAGTGAAAAGTTTTTAAATTTTTTCTGTACTAAATCATGAATAAGAATTTTTTAGCAACTTTTAAGTAAAACATCCGCACACAGTTATTTGTTTAAAATATGTAAAATGTAACTAATACTTAAATGCTCTCTAAAATTAATACTTGGAATGTCCAAAAAATTTTAAAAGTTATTTAGCAATCAGAGAAGCTTGATGTCTAGCAGTGATAAAAATAGGGCTTTGATATTATGAAGTTTATGGAATCAAAGTATTAGAAATTGTGCAAGTATATTTTTAATAATAAATGGCACAAATTTACTGATTAACATCTTTTCAAAATCCAACCAATAAGTTATCTTCAAATTTATCAATCACAAATAATATTTTTGAAAAAAATAAAATTATTTAAACGTATCACAGGAAATAAAAACTCATATGTATTTTAACACAAGAAAAAAAAAACTAAACATTTGAAGTAAGGAGACATTAATTTAGGTAATCAAATTTAAATTACATTTTAAACAAATTAATATATATATGCAAATATTCAATAAATTTAGGCATTTGTCTGAAAAGTGTTAACAGAAATATATTTTGCAAACATTGATTTTCAAAATTGTATGAAAAACACTGCATTAATGTCTCCTTTACATAACAAACAACGCACAAAACAAGTAAATACAAAACCCACAAAACAGAACTGATGAAAATGATTTTGATTGGAATTTTTTTGAAAAATAGATAACTGGTGAAAGACTAAGAACTAATTAGTCCAGATCTACTGGAAAGCGTAAAAATATAATTGATTTTAACTGGCCTCCCTATGCATAAATAATTTAACATAAGAAATCTATAATAAAATATATATTCAAGAATATTTAAATGCCATATATGTACGATGTATTTAAAGATTAAAAAAAAAAACAAATTTTGTAATCTAAAATTAATAAAGTTTATTGAGAACTAAATTTGATATATGCTCTAATTCATCATGGATAAGTATTCAAACAAGTGAATATATTAAAGTCCTAATTTATCTACCTCAAAAAAATTAATACAACAAAATTTCTTTCATTTTAAAAATACCTAAGTGCTAGTTAACACGTATGTACACAAAGCCCAGATACTAATTCAAAGCTGAACAACTGGGATAAAAAAGAATGCATCTATCAGTGAGCAAAAATCTCCTAAAAAATCAGGAAATTATCGAGTCTCCTGCCAACTGGTAATGCATTCTGTAGATAAGTTATGTACATATTCTATAAAAAATAGTACACAACATCGCCAAGGAATGTCAAATGTTCATAATAAAGTCAAAATGGAATGGATTGTAAGGAATATTTACATAACAAACAAAATTAGACATTTCAATCATTCCTATAAATTGCTATTCAGACACACACATATTCTCTTCCAGAAGAGTTGAGTTGTATTTTACTTGCATCAAATTATAACATATGTCAACATTCTGATTTGTCCTCAACGACTAGTCCGACTGTGTCCTTGTCTGTATCTGCGGTCATTGGATCCAAAGCACTTTTTCTAAGTTGCAACACCGCAGGTGATGACGATTTAGACTTGTCTACTTTGGAATCGGTGGGTACTTCGTAATGAGGGCCTTTGTCATTAACTGTTCCAATGACATCGTACATGGGATTGGCAAAATCGGTGGGTTTGTCAAAGTCCCCAAGATTGAAGTGAGTGTCAAGAGGTTCCTGAAAAATTTAATGAGAGTTATGTATGAAAATATATCTTAAAGCATCTCTTGTTTAATAATATTGTAGACAATAATACTAAAATTCTGAAACAATAATACAACTTTGTTCTATTAGTTTCAATACTTTAATTTGTGAAATCTATAAGATCATTATAAAAGTATGGGATGATAAAGAAGTTTATAAGCCAAACTTAATATTCAATATTCAAAAAAAAAAAATTATTTTTTGAAACTAATTATTTTACTAATTTTAATAAATAAGCTTTACAAAATATATTAACATTCTAATTTTATAACTTTTGCTAGAGCCCGTCAAAATACTTAACATGAGAAATTAAAATCGAAAAATTAAAACGAACTTTACACGAAACTAAGCTTTATCTAAGCAATTTATTTAAAATTTTCACTTGTAGTATTAATGAAAAATTTGGCTAAGACTTTTAAATTATTAATTATTTTTTCACACTTTATTTATTTATTTAATTTTTATTTTTGTACTTTATATTTTTTACTAAAGGGGTGTAAATTTGTAAGCAATCAAGACTTGATAAAAATTTTCCACTGTTTTGCTTGCTAAATTAGGCTATATTTTTTTAAAACAAAGAACTACAGGATAAATTTTAAATCAAACATACTGCGAATAACTTCTCAAAAATTCATTCACACAATGTAATAATTACTTTATTTAAAAAGTAAAGGACTATTTTACAACTTCTACTAAAAAAAATGAGGCGTGATGGCTCAGTGGTTAAGGCATTCAACTGCCATAGTGAAGGACTGGGGTTTGATACCCAGTGAAGGATTAAAATTCACCCATCTAAACATTGATGGGTACCACCTTGTTTGGGAGAGGCGAGGGCACAGTGCTAACCATAATTCTGAGATTAGACATGAAATTGTAGAGCTTTAACCTCCATGACTCTCTGGCTGTTGCGGAAATGCTTCAGTTTTTACACAAAAAACAAATCAAAATATCTCAACAAAAGAAAAAGACAGAAAATTTTGAAGAACCTTAACGAATAACAAATTTTTCTTTTCCAATTTTAATTTCAATCAGGGTAAAACAAAGAAAACAATAAATCGATTGAACAATTACCTCAATAGTTGTTTCAGAAGGTCCATTTTGAGCCATGAATGTTGGCGAGAATTCAACATTAGTGCCACTTCTAAATGATACACTTTGATTACTTCCACCAAATCCATGAGGTTTCCTGTAATATTGATGTTCCCAGTTAATACACAGGTAATAAAACAGAAATTTGCAATATTTAATCTTCTCAAAAATTGTAAGAAAGTAAAAGCAACAAAATAATATCTTACAGGTTCCGTTTCTTAAATATGTAAAACACAACCAGGCCTCCAACAAGAACAAGCAGTATAGTTAAAATTGGAATCACGATAGCAGCGACACCTGTAAAAATTTAAGAACAAATTTTACAAATATTTTTTTTTTTATCACTTATTCTTAAAACTAAGTTAAACAAAATATCAGTTGATTACTCAAATCAGATATTCCTTATAACATATTTAAATATATGTCTTATAATTATTATATATTTCTTATAACATACATATTATATGAATACACAAAAAATAGTTGGAATACAACAAAGATTAATAAAATATTTTCCATAAAACAATACTCAGATATAATTTTATAGTTTAAAGACATCTATTAAATAATATAATACATCTCTTTAACCATTTTTAGGTTATATTGTTTATCAGATCATTTCCTAACTCAAACATTATTATTATCCAAAAATTTTAAAACTAAGTTGCAATTGAAGTTTAAAAACTAACCAGAATTAAAAATATTTCTCAACTTCATAATAATATTTAATTATTAAAAAAAGAAGTTCTTTAAAATGATACAATTTTAAAAGATTAGGATAAGAAAAAGATTATGTAATAAATGTTGGTGCATAACAAAATCAACTAAAACTTCACCAATATTTAAGACAATTAATTTTTTAACAAGATTCCATCAAATCAATATTTTTTCAAAATTTTTCTCTGACATTTTTCATTTACATTTTAAACATTTATAATTGAAATTTAAATAAAAAATAGTCCCTTAAATTTTTTAACTGAGATGTAACAAAAATATTTTATCACTTACTACTTCCATGTCCTCCAATGCGAGCACTTTGAGGGCTAAAATCACCACAATGCACTCCAGTATAGTTTTCCAAACACACACAACTAACTCTGTCAGAAGAATCAGCAACACAATGGCCACCATTTCTACACGGGCAACGATATGGCTGAGGTTTTGGAGTTTCGAAGCCTGAAAAATGGAACATAAATTGAATAAATTCTATATTTTATATTAAACTTCGTACTCAAATGAATATTGAAAAGAAGATAAATCAACAATATTTTTTCAATTTACCCATGTGTGTTTCATATTGAATTCCTTTCTAAACTATTTACTGTATTGTTTCAAAGCTATTTACTGTATTGCCTCCATGTAAAAGTAGATCGATTGAAAAGATTAAGAAGTTTGTTGCTACTTAAAGTAAATGACCATTTAAAAGTACTTTCGGTTTTGCGATTAATGAAAAATGCTTTCATTGAGATTCGACATACCAGAAAAAAATTTATGACTCAAAAATTTATTTTTCCACTTGGTAATTAGACACATTGAGAAAACAATTTCGACTACGAAAAAATTAAGCTTCTTTTTTGAAAGAGGACAAAAAGTCTGAAACAAGATTAACCACTTGAACAATTGAATGTTGCGAATCTACAAATTAATTATTTTCTGAGAATTTTAAAATATATTATTTTAAAATCTGCAACTGTATGTGTAAAAATTGGAATGTTCTGATCTAACACAAAAATCAAGAATATCAGTACAACTACAAACGTTGTAATTGGTTTTTACCAGTTGAAACAAAAATAAAATTAAACTTTCAAAAAGCTGAGCACTAATACATGTACAGTATAAAATTCCAAAATAAGACAACATCAAATATTTTTCATTTAATTTTTCAAGACAAAAATTCACAGAAACTTTAAAAGTTATCAAGTGCAAATTCTAAAGTAAGCAAATAGATATTTTATTTCATACCTTTATTGAAAGGTATTTTTTGTCAAATGACACACACTCAATCTTTTAAAGTTTAGTGATGAACAAAAACTAATCACTAAATTAAAAATTTCTAAAGTTGTGAAGAAAAAATGCTCTTAATATTCAAATGACTGAAGTACATTGTAAAAACAAAAGTAAATACCTGAATTGCACGTTGCTGAACCAAGAATGGAAATGGGTGAGCCATCAGGACAAGCACACCTGTAACCACCAGGTATTAGCAAACATAGATGAGAACAAGCGTCTTCAGGGCAACGGTTTTTAACTAGAATTTAAAAAAAATATTTATGTAGTATATCATAAATACATTCATTAAAATAAAGTTTAATACATTCGTTTAAAATAAAAGTGAATAAAACTGAAAATTACTTGTAGTATTATATCGAAGAGAGTGATACACTTTAACAGATGTTGGGTTTTCTGTACTCTTGCGTACACGAACTTTAACACCTCGTCCATATTTATCATGTTTCCAGATTTCCCCAGAATCTCTAGTTAGCCAATAAACATGATCTTCAAATAAGTCTAGGGCAATTGGATGGTTCAAACCTATAAAAACACAGTTTGTAAGTTTTAAATAATCTAATGAAGAAATTATTTTCGGAAATTAGTAAATTATTATATGAGGGTTTGTTTATAAAATATATTCTTCAAACTTAACACTTCATATTATTCCATTTTGCAAATTCCTTAAATTTTGAATTTTATGCATATTAAAAAAAGAAAGAAAAGCACCCATTTAAGAACTTTTCATTTGGTTGAGTATTAACAAGTAATTATTCCTTTATTTCGATAAGAAAAACTTACAAAAACAGCATAAACTTATACTTAAAAATTTATCCATAAAAATATTAAAAATGTAAATCTCAAAAGTCCAAAAACAAATTAATTTCAAATTTTTTTTTCATTAAAAAAAAAGAATGAATATTTTATCGATAACATTTAAAACATCAGTGATAAAATATCAAATTCATGAAAGTTTATGCTATTATTAAAGTTTTTTTCAAGCATAAAATGGAATCAAATATAAAATAATCGTAATACTTAAATATTTTTCTATGTGTAATATGACAACCCTAGTGACATTTGATGCAATATCTGATTTCTACCTTTATGATATAAATTTAGATCATTTTAAAATTTATTAGCATTATCACAAGAGATATTTTTAACTGTACTGATATTTTAAATTAAAAAAATTGCCTTAAAAAATAAAAAAATTTTATTGCTGGAATAGTTTTCTTGTTCCAAACTAATTATGAAATAACTTCCCATAAATAAAGGTATCTGGTAAACAAAATAAAATTTACAGCGCACTTGTGTTTTAAAATTGTGCTTATTTTGTTTATAGTATAATTTTATAATTCACTAATACAATCTAAACACATTTAATACATGATTCTCAAGAGGAAAATTTTGCATAAAATATTACCAGATAAAATTGTAACACGATCTGTTCCATCCATTTTCATTGATTCAATGGTGTCCAACTTGGTATCACACCAATAAAGCCTGTGTCCACCAGCATAATCCATTGTAATACCTGTTGGGTAACCCAATTGTTCACTCACTAATATCTTCCTTTTACTGCCATCCATCCAAGAGCTTTCAATTTTTGGGGCAATACTAGCATCAGTCCAAAACATAAATCTATAGAGGGAAATTTTTTTTTTTAATTACATGAAAACGGCAGGGAAAAATGGTAATTTTTTACTATGGAAATAATTCTAAAAATTTAAAATATCAGTTTATGCAAACAAGACAGCAGGGAATTTTTTGAAATTGAGTTGTGATGAAATCTTGTACACTCATAGCATGTCTTTACAAAATCGAAAAAAATTTGACCCAGAGATAAATTGAAAAATATATTGTTAAAACGTTTTTTTTCTTCTTGTTTTTAAGACTCTTAACAATTTTGCGAAAATAAGGATAAAAAGATGTTTTAAATATTTAAAATTTCTAATTAATGTCTAATAAATAATTTTTATATGCTCTGGCAATATGCACAGATTGCAAAATTGGTGTACTCATAAAAATAAGTGTGTACATAGATTGAAAAGGAGAATGCTTACTGATATTGTTAGTTAAGTTAATGTGTTAAGACACAAATATGGTTAACCCACCAGTTAAAAAGTATCAATCTTTGATTGAACATTTATTGTAGAAATATTTCATTTTGAAGAATTTCTGGAAAAATGTCAATAATTTTTTTTCTTTCTAATACCTAACGAAAATCTATAAGCCAGAGTCTCCCCACTACAGTTTAGATTGTTTTAAAAAAATATCTTAAATAGTAAAGCACTTGAATACACTGGCCCCTATTTTATGTAGGATTTTTCGATCCTGCATAGCATTTGGGTATATACCTCTCTCTTGGAGGAATACCAGGGTGATTTTCATACCAAAACCAGGTAAGGAGAATTATTTTGAGGCTAAATCATTCAGACCAATCAGCCTCACTTCCTGTCTGTTGAAAGCGATAGAAAAGCTAATTGACAGACACCTCAGAGACACTGTGCTCATAGAAAGGCCACTGTCCTCCACACAGCATGCCTATCAACCAGGCAAGTCTACAGACACTGCTCTGTATGAGCTCTCCTACCTGCTTGAGAAATCTATCACAGATAAGGAGATGGCTCTCGCGGTTTTCATTGATATTGAAGGTGCGTTTGATAAAGTCCCTGCTGAGACTATCATCAATGCACTTAGGAACAGAGACATAAACTCAATAATTACCAGATGGATAGCGAATTTGCTTTCCTCTAGGTATGTTTGTTCCTCTCTATTGGGTGCAAGCATGAAAGTGCATGCAACTGCCTGATGCCCCCAGGGAGGGGTTTTGTCCCCTATCCTATGGTGTATGGTAATGGACTCCCTGTTAGTTCGGTTAACTGCTCTTGGCATTCCCTGTATCGGGTACGCTGATGACGGTGTTATTGTTGTCAGAGGCAAACATGGAAAAACTGTCTCTGATATCATGAATAATGCACTCCTAGAAGTAGCTAGGTGGTGTTTTAAATCAGGCTTATCTGTCAATCCATTCAAGATAAGTTATGTAGCCTTTACACGGAAAAGGCAACTTGATCTAGGTAATGTATACTACCTGGACCATAAATTGGAACTCACGGAGAAAGTCAAGTTTCTCGGGGTTTATTTTGACTCCAAACTAAATTGGGGTCTTCAACTTGAATACTGCACCAACAGGGCCAGAAAAATTTTCTGGTCTTGTAGAAATGCTATTGGTAGAACATGGGGACTGTCCCCCAAAATAGTCTACTGGATATACTCAATGATTATTAGTCCTATCATCACTTATGGCGCAATCGTCTGGTGGTCAAGGACTAGATTGAGCTCTGCAAGGTCTAATCTTAACAGACTACAAAGAATGGTCTGTGTAGCCCTGTCAGGCTGTCTCAGGACCACTCCTACAGCTGCTCTAGAGAGCTTACTTGGGCTTCTTCCATTGAACTTACGCATTGAAGTTGAAGCTCAGACAGGCGTAAAGCGTCTTATGTACCTTGGCCTATGGAAAGAGAATTCCAAACACTTGTCATGGGGACATCTTGTTTCACAAGTGAAGGATTTATCCTCTTTTATTATGCCTAGTGATTATATGTCACTAAGATATGCTTTTCACAAGCCCTTCAAGATCCATTTTCCTACTAGAGATGAATGGTTCAATTCTCCTCGGTGGCTTAAAGGCAAATGCCTGATATGGTACACTGATGGGTCAAAGATTGGTGCCAAATCAGGAGCAGGAATTTACTGCTCCAATGATGGTACCAAACTTCACTTTCCCCTGGGAAATTATGCCACCGTTTTTCAGGCTGAGGTCTATGCCATTATCTTGTGCTGCAAGTTATGCATAGACAAAGGATATCAAAATACGACTATCCGCATCTGTTCTGACAGTCAGGCTGCTCTCCTATCACTGTCAAGGTGTAAATTCACCTCTTTGTTAGTGTGGGAATGCTTCTCGGTCCTCTGTGACCTGTCCACTCATAACAAGGTATCCCTGCATTGGGTACCAGGACATATGGGTATCGGTGGAAATGAGCTAGCTGACGAAGCAGCACGGGCTGGCTCCAATGCAATTTTCTGGGGCCCTGAACCTGAGCTGGGAATTTCTCCCTCCTCATTTAGGGCAACCATATTCAAGCTCTACGGCAAGATCGCCCATGAGCAGTGGCGCGCTGCTGACGGTCAGAGACAAGCTAAGGAGCTGAATCGAGACTGTCCTAGTGTACGTCAAAAGGAGCTCTTAAAGCTTAACAGAAACATTATAAGGAAGATCATTGGTCTTCTTAGGTCACTGTATCCTCAGAAGACACCTAAACATTATGAGAATAGAATCAAATTCTCTTTGTCGGGGATGTCATCTAGAAGAAGAGACATCACGACACATACTCTGTGATTGTGAGGTCTATTCTGCTCAAAGATTTGAGTATTTAGGGCAGCATATTGTCAATGCCTGGGAACTGCAAGATGTTCCTGTAAGGTGCTTGCTGAATTTTATTTCAGCCATAGGGCTTTCATGCTAATCATGATTTTAGGGTTTGGGTACAATAGACCTCTGGTTGATGTGCCCTGCTCGTCAGAGCTGCCCAACCTCTAAGTCTAAAGCACTTGACACAAAAAGTAGAAAATAATGTTCAAAATCCATAAATTTACTCTTTTAAAGACAGAGGTTTTTTCGGGTTAGGGGAACCACTGATGTGTTTTCGGCGATCCCCGAAATATCATGAAATTAAGAATCTAAAATTAGCTGATTAGAATTTTCAATACTAATGCTAAATTTGTCCTACTATATGGATCTGAGACATGGCCTTGCAATAAAAATATCATGAAAAAATTCCAAGCATTGATTAACAACTGCTTAAGAAGAATATTGTGAATCAAGTGGTTCTATAAAATTGGCAATCCTTAGAAAAGCAAAACAGAAATCGATTGATCTGGAAAGTAAAAAACGTCTATGGAAATGAAATAGTCATGTTCTACATAAACCCAAAAAATTTAAAGCATCACAAGTTTTTGACAGGAACCTTCAGGGCAATAAGAAAGAGAGGAAGACTTGAAAAATACTTGGTGCAAGATAACTGTAACCAAATTGAAAACAATAGGAAAGACACGGAGAGAGGCAAAATATTTGGCCACAAATAGAGTGAGATGGAAAACTATGATAGAAGCCCTATGCTCCAAATCAGAGTGAAGAAGAATATGTATGTAAAGTTAGCGGTGGCCACATCACAATACAACTGAACCATATAAAATAAATAACCCAGAACAATATTTAAAAAACTGCAGCTTATGTTTGAACAATAAAACTGTGACAGCTTAAGTTCAAATACACAAGACATTTCATTAAAGTAGTTTTCTTACCCGAACTCTGGATCCAAGGCAAGAGATGTAGGCTGTTCCAAACCAAACGTTACAATGGCATGCCTGTAGCGACCATCTAACTCACTGACAAATATGCGTCCTTTGGGTCGTGCACTTGAGAGATCAGTATCCATCCAATAAAGGTGGCTGTAAATATATTATAATTTTAGTAACTTTTAAAGTAACAAATCAAATACTAAGGCTATATTTGTACAGTGGATACTTACCCACTAACCCAATCAATGGCTAACGCTGAAGGCTTAGTTAATCCTTTCAATTCAAGGTTTTGTGCGAAACCTGAGCTAGCATCTGGATCATCAGGAATAAAAGACCGTTTAATTGTTTTCTCTGAAGTATCAGTCCAATACAGCACACCTGTAAAATTAAAATATAAAGGTTTCTAATTAACAAATAATTTTTAATTAATAAATCAATTTTAATTAAATAATATTCTACAAGTGAAAAATAAGATTTCTTATTAAAATTCATGATGCTTACTTGTTAATACTTGGCTATTATCGTAAATTTTTTTTTTTTTTTATGCTCATAAAAAATACAAGGCACCTTCTTCGAAAAATGAATTTCTTAGCAAATTATATGAAAATAAATAGTACCTATAAGAAATTAATAGAATAACTGTTGCCAATTTTAAGTTATTTTATTTGAAATAATATCGGATAAGCTTTTGATTTAAGTAACTAAATGCACAGACAAGAAGGAGATTAAAGAAGAAAAACATGATTTATTAACCTCGGGAGACATCATAATCCAATGATTGTATTCTGCTTTCTCCAGAAATAAATGCATATTGTTGATCGAATGAAAGTAAGAATGCTTTCACTTCAGTGGTAGCTGCGTACATCAAAATAGGAGGCTTGCCTACATTGCAAAAATAAAAATAACAATTAGTGTTAAAGAACTATGATTTTTGAAAAAAAAGAATAATAGTTTGTTCAAATATCATAACGCTAAAAAATTGCATTTTTTAGTGATGAAATTTTTTTAAAAAACTGAAAGTTTTGAATTATATCCCACACTTCAAATGAAATATAAAAAAAATTAGGGTTAATGCTTACCAGTGGCTGCACAGTGACCACCATAATTCTCAAAGCCAAAGTGACAAGTACACTCGTAAGTACCAAGGAAGTTTGTGCATATTTGTGAGCAGTTATGTCCAAACGTTGCACATTCATTGACATCTAGAAAAAGAAGAAGCAATTACATTTTTCAATTTTCTCTTATGTTAAATGATAAAAGCTAAAACAGAAGTGTTTACAGCAACATATACAGTGGCATAGTTATGGGAATGGGATTGGGTACAAAATACAGGGTGTAAAAAAGTTTGGAAATTGTTAAATATCTCGATATATATACATTGAATCAAAAAGTGAAACTAGACGTGTTCGATATTTTTTTAAAACCATCGAATGATACCGAACTTAATCTTTCACCTCTATCTCTCCTGCAGGGCAACTTTGAAATCCTAAATATGTAAACCTATTTTTTTTTATTGCAGATTCGGATTCTCCAGAAAAAAGTTACCGTATTCAAGTTATAGGTTACCCATTTTGCTTCACAGATGGCACTGTAAATGAGAATATTAAAAAGGGTACAAACTGTTTAAAATGGTGGTAATCCAAGACCCATCAAATAGAGAATACAAACAAATGAATAAAATAAAAAACGCTTCTGTATTTTTTTAAAAAAAAAATTCGTTAAAAAATATGTTTTAACATGCATTAACTTCTTAAGGTATGTATATATGTCAGAAAAAGATAACTCCCCAAACTCACATTACAAATATGCCACTAAATGGATTGTCAGTCATTTACTTACCTTCACAAATTTTGGCATCATCATGCTTAACTTGATATCCTTTGGGACAAACACAGATATAACCTTCCCCAGTAAGTGATGTGCAGTTGTGTTGGCAACCTCCCTTTTTGATGGGATCACACGTTCCAAAATCTATAGGTTAGGAAGAAATTAAAAGTAATGAGATTCAGATTTATTTACTTTTATGATTAAATTAATTGCTTTCTTCAACAGCTTTGTTGAACAAATACAAATTGTACAAATTTAGCAAACTTGATAAATTATTATCTACATTATTATAACATTTAATTCCATTAAATTTCCCAGTTTAATAACCAAGCATTTTATTCAAATTACATTCATTTATCATCATATCCTTCAACTCTCATGCTCGCAAGGAATTCATCTTTTCCCCTTTTGACCACAAAATAAAAGCACCTTTCTTCTTTACATTTCTGAAGAGTTCCTTATGCTACTTTGATCTTGGTCTTTTTTTTATATTTTAGCAAGCCACAACAACAAATTGTAAATAAAAAAAGGATTAAAAGGAAAAAAAAACTCAAAAGAAAGCGGAAGAGAAAAATTAATGAACTTATAACAGTTTCTTTTCTATTATTCTAATGCTTTAGTCAAAGAATTTTAAAAAACTCAAAAGAAATCTGTGAGGAATGTGTGGCTGTTTGCAGTAATCAATGGCTCAACCAAGTTTCACAGTAAAATGTAATTAACAAATTCTTTGAAACGAAGTACATCAGTAGAGTTAGATAATATTAATGTACATGTACACGTCATTTGTGGTTTGCAAAAGCTCTTGAATTTTGCATATATACTTTTCAAACTTCATTTACTTTTTAAGAATACAGGTTTAAGCAAATAATAATATTCACTTTCGCATTCTAATCTTACTTGCATGGAAAAATGATATTTATCTTCCTAACATACATTTATTGTCATTTATGTTTAATTTTTAAGCAGTTTTTGGAATAGTATAATTCTGTTAATGTCTCTGTTAAACTCTTAATATGAGTTTTTGTTCTGTTAAATTCAGAATATGAGTTTGCAGAAGCGTTTAGAATATGCTTGCAGATAACTTAAATTTTTTTTTTCTTACTTCACATATCAGATGCATATTTTTTTTAGTTTCATAAGTCCAGTATTTTTCAGGACCGCGAGAACCTCTGTTTTAAATTCTTCAGACTATTTATAGCCTAGTGACTGAATATTTTTAGAATTTCTTATTTTTTCCACAGTCACCAGATCTAAATCAAAATTGGCTATTTCCCTATTGGCCATTAACTTTCAGGCTTACAATAATGCCTTTCTGCTAAATTTTTCTAACATGATATAAAATTTTTGAATTCTCTAAAACATTAGGTACTCCAAGGAACACTGTATCTTACATTTTCCTTTTTAATTTTCTTACTTTGAAGCATAAGAGTTGGATTATTCAATATTTTAGAATTTTAATGAATACATATAACTTATGTTGTTTCTGATATTTTTTTGATCCTACTAATATAATTGGTTAGAGGGTAAATTTGGGTGCCCCTTAGATTGGGTACTGTACCATGGCGCTTTTACTGTATATAAAATTTTCTATTTTTATAGTGTTAGAAAATCTCATTTTTAAGTCATTCTCCTTGTTTCCCGTAGGAAAATAAAAAATTTCGAAATTAAGAGGAGCCCTCCATTGTAAATTTTTACCATATCATTAACTTTTTCACTAATTTTTCTGACATGTAAGACAAAAGATTTTGTAAAGTAGCCATCCCAATGATAAGGTTTAAATAAACTTACTACATCCTTTTTCATCAGATAAATCACCACAATCATCCTCCAAGTTGCAGACAGCTGTCAATGGAACACATTTCTGAGAAAGGCATTTAAATTCTTCACTTGAGCATATTATTGGAGGTTTCTCACACATGGTATGATTGTTTTCATCAGAACCATCACCACAATCATCTTGACCATTGCAAACATGCCATACAGGAATACAACGATGGTTAGCACATTGGAATTTATGGCTCATGTCGCAGGAGAAAGCTCCTGAAAAAAAAATTAAAGAATTCATCATATTAAAAAAAAAGAACTACTTCAATCTATAAATATAGCGCTGCAAAAACTGCTATAAATCAGTAAAGGAAAGATATTTTAAATGGATGTGCAATCTGGTTTTGGATGTGCAATGTCAAGTAAGTTAATCCATTCAAAATTACATTTTAAAACATTTATAAAATTAGTTAATTTTTACAGTGTTAGACTGTTATCAGAATAATAGTTCAAAAAATATATTACAAAGCTTTTATAAATTCAGTTTGTACTGGATAAACGTATGATATATCTATAATAATAAAATAAAGAGTTTGTCTCTTTTATAACTCCAGAACTTTTCATAAAATTCGGCAGTGGGTGAAACGGGCAGTTTCAGTCCCCTGATCTCTAAAAATTGTTCAAAAATTTCAATTAAATCGCTTGAGAGAGACGTCTAAGAAATGGAATTCTTTTATTGGTTTAGAACTAGAAATTCATAAAAAGGAAACCGTGAACGATTCTGATTTTTCACGTACCGTAATTTCGCGCGTATAGTCCGCGGACTATCTGTGTTTAAAATGCGAATTTTTGAAGGTGCGGACTATCCACCAGTGCGGATAATACGGTGGTTGTTCACGGTTAAAATCGTTGAAATTTAAAAAACACGATGTCGCAGGGCTCGAAAAACAGCCCGTCCGCCCGTCCTCGTCGATCAAAAATTCCGAATCCAACGAATCCGACGTCCGCGCGGACGGCCATTTTCCTGTTAATGTTCGTGATACATTTTCAATTTTCATTATCTTACAACAGTCCTACAAGTTACAAGGCAGCAAAATGACCCACAATACAGCAACATACTACGCATGTTGGAATTGATGATTTCTCAGTCTGGGAGTACTGCAGCGGTTGAAAGGGGCTTTTCAGCAATGAACTTACAAACAAACAAAAAAAAAAAAAAAAAACACATTACGTACTGGTCTTAAACAAGAAGCGTTAAACGCAATTATGAACATCTATCTAAATGGAAAACCCCTTTCAGATTTCTGTGCAGAAACCTCTGTAAATCATTGGCTTGATTGTGGAACTGGCAAACGTCATATTCTATTCATTTAAAAAACGCAGTACCCTCGGATAAATTGACATTCCAGATAACTTGACCTTTGTCATTTAAATTATTTCATAAAAGAAAGAAATTATTTCATAACAGAAATACTAGGTTACTACTAGTAACCTAGTATTTCTTTTATTACTGTATAATGTAATCCTAGTAACTACTAATTCATTGTGCTATTTATATAAATGTTTGTAATAAATAAGAGAAAATTATATTTTTATTTATTTAGAAGCTACGGGTTAGTTTCAAAGGAGGACGGGTAAAATTTCTGAGTTTTTTCGAGCCCTGCGCTGTCGTGAACTGCCGATAATCAAATATAAACAGCGCGAGACCTTTCTTGGAATCAAAGAGAACTTAATCTCTCTTTCCCTTCTGCCATATGAACAGCTATTGAGTGTAGGAAATGGGCGTGGAGTAGAGAAGCATAAATCAGAAAGGAATGAATGAAGGAAATCAGGGTGGGGCCAGTGATAACGTCAACTGTAAAACAAGCACTCCCCCCCCCCGCTTTTTTCAGGAAATATGTCTCTTCCACTTGTCATGAATGCCTCTCTCCACTCCCCTTTATTCTTCAGCTGCTTGTTAAAAACATGTGAATGCTTGATGAATAAAGGGTGCTGATGAACTTGGAATAACCTTGAATAATCTTATGTTCCAGAAGAATTTCAAACTTTCAACTGAAGGTCAGTGAAGAGGGGAAAAAGCTAAGTGTGTGAGAATTTTAGACAGGGGATAAAAGAAAGACCGTCCTAGGCGGAGTTATTTAAAAAAAAAAAAACCTGATTGGAGAAGCAAAAATAGGGGGAGGAATCGCTAAAAATAGAAACTTGTTTTAAATGCTTGGGAGAGCGCTTTTTATCGTTTTTTTTCTTCATTGCTCATATTTCTGTCTGATTTCGACCATCGTCCTCAGCTTATTATTATTTTTTTCAAATCGTTGTATCTTCAATTCTGATGCGTTTTTGTCTTATTAATGCACAGTATTTTGTTTTTCATCTTCATTAACGTTGATCCAACATTATGTCTGTGAAACATCGCCGGAGTTTTACTGCTGAGTTTAAACTCAAGGTAGTTGTGAAAGCTGAAAAAGATGGAAACAGAGAAGCGGGCCGTTATTTTGAAGTGGACGAGAAAGCGGTGAGAAATTGGCGCAAACAAAAGGATGTGTTAAAAAGAATGGGAAGAAAGCTATCCAATCGGCACGGAAAAGTAAAATGGCCAGCTTTAGAGGAAAATTTACTAAGATGGGTTCTCGACCAAAGAAATGCCGGACGCTCCATTTCAACAGTTAAAATCCGTCTCCGAGCGAAGGCCATGGCAGATGAGATGCAGATAACGGATTTCAAGGGAGGAGTAAATTGGGTTTACCGCTTCATGCGTCGTAAAAACTTGAGAGTTCGCAGCAGAACGACAATGTGTCAGGCTGTTCCGCACGATGTAGATGAAAAAAAAGCTTCTTTCCTTCAGTTTACAAGGAAAGTTATTGCAGAAGGGAAGTATTCCCTGAAAAATATTATAAATATGGACGAAGTTCCATTAACATTTGATTGTCCACCGAATCGCACCGTCGATACTTGTGGAGTGAAAACAGTATCCATAACAACAACTGGTCAAGAAAAGACCCATTTCACAGTGATGCTCGCCTGCTGTGCTGACGGCACAAAGTTGAAGCCGCTCTTAATCTTTAAGAGAAAAACAATTCCGAAGGAAAATTATCCTCGAAGCGTCGTAATACGATGTAATGAAAAGGGTTGGTGCAACGAGGACATTATGCTCGATTGGTTTCAAGAAGTTTGGAAGAAGAGAGAAGGTGCCTTTTTCAATTCCAATGGAGTACTGATTATGGATTCAATGAGGGCACACATAAAGGACAGTGTAAAGGCGGAAGCTAAGAAAAAAAACATCGGTGCTGAACTTAGCGTTATTCCAGGAGGTTTAACAAAAATCCTGCAACCTCTGGATATTAGCGTAAACAAAAGTTTCAAGTCCCACGTACGTGCTTGCTGGGAGAACTGGATGTCGGAAGGTTTACATACTTTCACAAAAGGAGGAAAAATGAGACGCGCTTCATACACTGAAGTTGCCGAATGGGTCGATAAATCCTGGAAAAGTGTTAAAGTGTCAACCATCCGATCGGGATTTATAAAAGCCGGGATTGTTAGTGAAAGCGAGGAAATCTCTGACAGTGAAGATAGTGATGCTGAAAATGAACTTTCGGACACTCTTTCCGAAAATATATTAGAACTGTTTAATTCTGATACTGATGAATCGGACTTTGAAGGTTTTCGTTAATGTAGTAGAATGTGTGATTAATTAAAATATGATTAATTAGTAAGCACTGTTTTTTATTTATGTTTAGCGTTTTATTTCAGAAGGTATATTAGTAAGTAAGTACTTTTTTTCTATTTATACTTAGTTCTTTGTTTCTAAAATAATTCGGACGTATAGTCCGCGGACTATCCGACGATTTTTGAAATTTTTCTACTATAAAATCGGACCTGCGGACTATACTGTGGTGCGGACTATACGTGCGAAATTACGGTACTTTAAAGATAATATCAGTGATGTTTGCTAAATTCTACAGCCAACGTTAACATGGGAGCTTGGGCACAAAACGCTGGAAAGAGTAGGTGGACTACATCACAAAATTTATATCTTTAAAGTTATACAAAACCAAGAGTTTCTTTTTTTCATAGTTATGCTTTGAAAAATGTGTTTCTATTAAACTAAATAATTTCTGTGTTGCCTACAATTCACGTATTTCTAATATTATACACTAAATCTGAAAATGTTACCTGTAGATTTAATAAATTACATATTAAGGGAAATCGAGAGTATCAAGTTGAACAGTCACTAAAACTAACAAGTAATATAAGATTCATTAAACTATTTATGTATAAAAATCAATCTACAGAAATAAAGTCCATTAATGTAATTAACAAAAAGAATATGGGGTTCAATAACAAGGTGCAAAAATAGGCTTAATGTGGCATAACAGGCATGTGCAAAAATAGGTATAACAAAATCTTCCATAAAACATGAGTAAAATTAATTTAATAAATAAACATACACATGTAAAATTCTCATACATAAAATTTTATTGGAATTAAACTTACTACACAAATCTGGTTTCTCATCCGATTGATCACCGCAGTCATCATCACCATCACATAGGAAATCTCGTCGAATACAAACCTAAAATTCAATCATGACAATTAGATTAGAAATATATATGCTAAACAAGTAAAAACAAATTATGAACAAGGTTTTATAAATAATTTAAAAAATTTTCACAAATTGAGTCTCTACTTACTGTATTGTTGCATTGGAACATATTTTCTTGACAATACTTTCCATCTGGATACCTGGGTGGACAGCCTTGTTCATCAGACACATCATTGCAGTCTTTATTACCATCACATTTTAGTCTACTTGCAATGCAGTGGCCACTTTTGCATTTAAATTGGTCAGTCTATAAATAAATAATAAAAATAAAAACCAAAACTAAGACAGAGTTCTTACTTAATCTCAAGAAAAAATGTTTTTAGAGAAATAATTCGTCACAGATTAATTAGGGAGCGTATGAAAATATAAGTATTGAAAAAAAAAGCCACTAAGAAATACATAAATTTAAGCATATGAAATAAAAAATGAGACATAATTTCCAAAAGTTTTTCAAATTTTCCTCAGGCATAAAAATATTGTAATATTTGTTTCGATTGAAATTTACAGAGAAATTTACAATTTGATAACAATTACCAAGTATACATTTAAATTTTTTGAAAAAAAAAAATCTTTTTTCAGATTTAAAATAGTTTAAATAAAATAAGCAATTGTTACATTAAATTTAAATAATACACTGTACACAATTAGAAAATAACCAATTTAAATATTAGTGCACCAAAAATAGAAAATTAAAGTAATAATACTTTTTACACTTAACTATTTTAATCAAACTATCTCAGTACTTTCTAAAGTTTTAAAATTCATATTTTGTGTTAGTATTTAAAAATAAAAAAAAAACATGTTAATGAAGTATATCTGCATGCTATGAAAAAACCTCACAAACAACAAATAATACAGGTTTTATAGATTTGTTTCACTATTACTCACGGGACATTCGTAGTTTAAGCAGCCTATTTCATCTGATCCATCATCACAATCATCATCATGATCACAGCGCCATCTCATTGGAATGCACTTTTTATTCGAACATTGGAATTCACTTTCAGTACAGTCACGATACAACTCCGCTGTAAAAGTTTCCATAATAATGTATTATTGACAACAAGAAAACAAGCAAATCGACATTACGTGAATCGTATTCAGATTTCCCATATATTTTGCGGATCAAAAATCTGAATTCGTCAAAAAAGGTATGTTTATTCAGAGCGCATATATATTTATTCAGATTATGTTTATTCAAAGTACGTTTTTGTGTCCAATTTCATAACTCAAATTATTGTCTGCACTACTTAATTATCATATATGAGATCGTCCCCTTGAACCATTAAGATTGAGTCCTAGAAGGTGAAGATCTGATCATTAAATCAAATGCTATACAGAGTAGTCTCTTTTTTGTTTGTTTTTTTGGTCACTCTATATAAAATATCGATAACAAAACACTTCAACTTGCAATTAAAGTAGAAAATAAAAAAAATTTTGAAGAAAAAGAAATATTACAAGTATAATCTAAAAAAATTACATAACAGGATTCGGTTATAAAGTAAAAAATACTATAATAGACAACACATTTATTTTATTTTATGCTATTGTTATTTACGATAGATAAAAGGTAAGTTAAAGTTTTAATTATCTTGGGAAAAATTTGTTGTTAATAAAACAAAATGTATAATGAAATAATTGTTTCTTAAGAAGATGCTACACCACAGAATAAAACTTTCATGGCAAATTCTGCTTCACCTACATACATGTATTGTAAAAAGCTAAGTATTAAAAAAAATGAGTTCAGGTAAACCTATAGATCAAAGTTTCGAATGCTGAAAAAATGTTTTTAATATAACAAAATGATAAAAAAACTTAGCAGGATTATTTTCCCACTGGGTAATCTTGAGTAATACTGCCATATTTTGATTGCATTTCAATATTTCAAAAGCTTTTTTTCAACATTTAAAACCATATGGTTTACTCTAGGTTTACCTAAATTAACTTTTTTTATATTTTGAATTTCAAATTACTTTTGTAGATGAAAAGAAATTTGTCATAATGGGTTTCTCTCGTATAGCATTCTTTTAATAAATAAGACGTGGATATTTGATTTTGATAGTGCAATATTTCATAATAAATGTAACATCAATTTTTGTGGATAATTTTTTTTTAAATTGATAAAAAAATGTTTATAATTTACTAAGTATGATTAATGTAAATAAATTAAAAAGACAAATAGAGACTAGTAGATGCCAATTTAATTGATATTAATTCAACCAAAATAAAGAGCTACCGAAAGTATCTTTCAGAAGTTGCATTTATTTTTTTGGGAAAATTTTAGACTTATAGGCTCCTTAAGCTCAAATAAATTTCTTTTCTATTTTTTTAATGATATTTCCATATCGAACAATTTATTGTTCTTTCTGAATTTTTTGTTCAGTGGACAACCTGATCACATAGAACGCATTAAAAAGAAATTTTTTTTTTTACAACCCTGAATAAAATACATGAAGCATATAAAATATTAAGACTACCTCACACACTTTGCTTTGATTGGAATTAGTATAGAGATTTCAGGGAAACTAAAGAAGAAAAAAAAACTCACTGCAAATGCTGGGATCTTCATCTGAGTTGTCACCGCAGTCATCTTCAAAGTCGCATCTCCATCTTAGAGGAATACACCTCTTATTTCTACATTCAAAATCACCAGCTTGGTGACATTTAGGACAATACACAGGATCAGTTTCATCTGAGTTATCACGGCAATCGTCTTTACCATCGCAGAACAGCCAACTTGGTATACAGCGATAGTTACCATGAGTGGGACATTTTCTCCAGCCAGTTGTGCAGTTGCGGTTACCTAGAAGCAAATAATGTTATTAAAGAAATGGCTGCTCACTCATAAATGACTAACACACTATATTTAAAATAATAGCTTTCAAATACAACAGTTAAATACATTTTATCCACACGAATTCAACTAAAACTGATACTTTTATATAAACTATCAAATGGAGAAAAAAATATACAAATGTACAACAGATTTACTTATGTGGCAACGAAAATAAGACAGAAAATTTTAAATTATAAAATTTGACTCTATTGAACAAAGTTAAATTTTAGAGTGATAACTATTTAAATTAATTTTTCATGCACGCTTATCATTTATAGTTTAACTGAAATTCTTAGAAAATTAAAAAAAAAATTTCACGTTTTTATATTTTACAAAAGAATTATTATGGAAATACTACTTTAAATTCATTTATAATTAAAAAAAATTTACATCAGACTCTTGAGTTTTAGTGTACCAAATAAAACAATATGTAATATAAGCACATCAAAGGTACTTATAACAAAATTTTATTTTGCTACTAAATTGGATGAAATTCATGATAGTCTAGGAAAAGCTTCTTTATAAAGGATTAGAATGAATTTCAAGGATTTGTACTTGATGAAATAGTTTTAATCTTTGACTCAATCATAAGACCCAAATATTAAAGTAATAATATACAGTGCACTTCCGATTATCCGGGTTAATCACCGGGACAGGTCGCACGGACAATCGAAAAACACGGATAATCCGAAAACTCTTTTTGTTAAAAAAAAATTCAATATCAGTACAAAAAGTATAAAAATTACTGACATTTGCATGCATAACATCAAACTAGGAATTTTCCTTTTTAAAAAATGTGTAATGCGTCTTCGCCATATATCGATACACATATTTTAGGAACCGCAGTAATGTCACCGTAATCAAATCCTCCCACATAATCTAATAAAGCTTCCACAGAGCAGCAGAATGAGAAATTGTATTTCATTCATTTACTCGATCTTCTGCATCAGTTACAATCATCACTATTTGATTTAACAACATAACGATGTCTTCATCAGTCAAATACTGGAAGGTATTTTTCTTGAGCATCTGAAGAAGATTATTCATCAAGCGGTATGATCTTTCTCCAAGCTCGTGATAACGTAGACGATTTTACCTTTGATCATGCTGCTGATATTCCATATACTGCAATCCAATAACGAATATTGCTTCCAAAAATTTGGTAGTGTTATAACTTCATGAATCAAATTTTTTTAATCTTGAAAATGTTTCTCTTTATATTTTTTGTGTGATTCCGGAATCAGCACGGATAATCCGCGAACGGATAATCGAGAGTGTACTGTACCTAACAAAATTCATTATGTAAAGCATAATATTATACAATCTTTATTAGTTTATTTTTTTTTAAATAAGATTAAAGAAGTAAAAAACAGGAAGACTTTTATACAAATTAAATTTAATGTAACAAAAAATACTATTTTGATCACTAATATTGAGTAAGGAAAATTATTTACGGCATCGGTGAGACGGTTCATCAGAATTGTCGCCACAATCATCATCAAAATCACAATACCACAACTTAGGAATGCATTTCCCATTGTTACACTTGAATTGAGTTTCAGGATCACATTCTTTTTTATCTAGAAATTAAAAAAAATGATTTTGAGCTACCCAATAAAAAAATTGCTTTAATATTGTAACAGAAAGAGCATGATAAAACACATAAATTTTTTTTAAAAATAAAAACAAAGTAACTTATTAATACAAATAAATTAACAGAACTACATTTGAAATATACATTTAATTAGTTCAAACCTAACAAAATTAGAGAGAAAAACTAATTGATAACGATTCAATTATTAGTTAAATAAAGTAATATTAGAAAAAATATAACTGGTTCAGCTAAAATTTGCACAAGGGAAAAATATGGGTGAAGAGAAATGTTTCTTCTTTATATTCATTTTTCTATATAATGCTACTAAATAAGCTACTTTGTAATCTATACATTTATTATGTAACTGTGCAAAATCTAATAGAAAGGAAATTTTTTTCAAAAACTTTATTGCAAAATTTTAACAAAAACTTTCTTTTATTTCATAATCATACAACTTACAATAAAGAATACTTATTTTATTATTTTGAAAGAGTGTTATTAGTATTTTATTAATTTAAAACACACTAGGGTCTGTTTTAGAGCTAGTTGGAGCAAGTAAGGGTGGATTAGAGTAATTTAAGAGAATTGGTGTTATAGTCACTTCAGTGTCAAAGCATCGTCAACAAGTCATTTAAGCTATTAAGATATAAAGATACATACGGCACAGGGCTGGATCTTCATCAGAACCATCAGGACAATCTTCATCTCCATCACAATGCCAAGCTTCAGAAACACAGCGTCCAGTGCTGTTGCATTTAAAGCTATGTTCTCCACAATCATGGACTAGATAAAATTAAAATATATATAATAATTAAGTTTTCTGAAAAATTTAATTCATTTAACTTATGAATGCATAACATAGAATACCAACCACAGAATTCTTCATCAGATCTGTCACTACAGTCAGCAGTTCCATCACAAATTCGAATGCGAGAAATGCAACTTTGATTGTTACGACATTGAAATTGGCCAGGTTTGCAAGAAAATGGAGCTGAAATAAAAATTGCAAAAAATTATACAAATGGAAACACTGTAAAATTTATTATAAAATGTTTTAAAATCAAACAAAATACAGGAATGGTAGGAGATTCATTTATGATTCAGTCTACAACAAGGAAAGAAGTTGGTATTGTAAATGCATATCCTCAGATCAAAAACCATGTATGGTTATTAAACATTTATTCTCGAATAACTTCCATTAGATCAAATAGAGGCAAAAATTAAAGTTATTGAAAATTGATAACGACACATTATTAAAAATTTATATACCAACAATTATAAAAAAAAATTATAAAAATTTAGCTATTTCGACAAAAGCTTCAAAGTCGATCAGTAAAATAAAACTTTTCCACATGTGTGTATTATTTATATCAAATGTTATGCATTTAAAATATTTTTTAAATTTTAACGAAATTGAAACGTAAGTTCTCTCAAATCACAAGGAATATTTGATACAATAAGATGCCTCATTGCAGTAGGAAAGGTTTCATTTTAAGTCTGGGGACTGTGATGGAATTTTTTAAATTAAAATACTATAATACTTAACATTAAAATTTATTAAATGTAGCAGAAACTAGTTCATGAAGAGAAGCCCAGAATCATTCAATTCTGTAAAAACTAATGAAAATAATACTTACGACATCCGGCTTCATCAGAGCCATCTCTACAATCTTTATTTCCATCACATTTATAATAAATAGGAATACATCTAGAATCGTCGCCTCCACATAGATGTTGTCCTAATGTACAGTTAGCAATACAGCGATGATTGGCCGCTGCAGAGCCAAGAGGCTGCTGCATTAGAATAAAATTGTCTGGGCATGCACACGTATATTTATCACCACCAGGAGAAATCAAGCAAAGATGAGAGCAGCCTCCATTATTCTTACCACAAGGATTTGTATCTAAGAAATAGAAATTTTAGAATTAGAAAGCACCCATTGAATTTAAAAATTAAAAAAATTGAAACTGCAATTAAAATTCATATATATGAAATAAATTATAATATAATGTTGGTTGATTGGTTCTAATGCCACTTGCCACAGGGGCAAGCCTGCTTGGTGAAACCAAGCAAATTTAAGGCAGAGTGTGCGTTTCTTGTTTTTCAGTGGCGCCATCTATGGGCGATATTTACAGGGCGGACCCATTCATACATCCACAGATCATAATTTTGACCTGAATCAGAGAGCGATCAATCTCCAATCCAGTACCCCCAGAGGTCTTGATTTGTTTATTTATATTTGAGGCTAATAAGGACACATATTGATCTGATAGGAGCAAGCATAAAATAATATTAACATTCAGGTGTGGTATCTAGGAGATAAACTTATAAGTTAAAGAAAGAATTAATATTGTAAACTAAAAATGCATGTTGATAATTTACTTACATGGTAATTGTCGAAGTGGATGATAAATGTGAATGTCATAAGGTCGATGTGAAGTATTTCTCAATACTTGCAAATGCTCTCCAGTAAACTTGTCTGCTCGGAAAACTCCTTTCAAATTCCAGTCAGTCCAATAGATGAAATTATCAAACACACTGAGAGCAAACACATGAGGAACTGAATTACCAGACAGAACTACGTGGCGATTTCTCCCATCCAAATCAGCAAATCTATAAAATATAAAGTGTTAGATCATTTAATTCGAATTAAATAAAAATAATTACTTTTATAATTTTATTTTATAATTTTTTTAATTGTTCATTCACCCTTTATGAAAATGCAAAAGAATAGCAATAAAAAAAAAACATGTTTTTTTTTATTTAAAATAAAAATATTAACAAGAGAAAATTTTCGATAATAAGATAAAACAATGAAAACCATTAAATTAGAACTCAGAAAAATTATTTATTTAATCAGACATAATTTTCTTTAATAATATTATAATTAATTTTGTTATTCTTGTTAAAAATGTAAGAAAACAGTTAAAAATATGTTTTCTAATTTAAAATACAAAAATGTTAAAAAAATTTTTAAAAAAAGATAAATAAATAATTTGTTTAAAATAATAAAATGATGGGATTAAATGTTTAGAAGATATTTTGTGCCATACATTTAAAATGACATTTTTATGACAATATATTAAAAAAAGGTCAAGTTTTTTTTAAAAAAAGTTAATGCAAATTCTAAATGCAAGTTGTTCATTTTTTTAAGGAAACTATATGTCTTACAAAATGCATATATACAAAAAAGGAAGTAAATTGGGTATAGAAATAACTTACTCAATGTAATCTAAATGAGCATCAGCCCAAAATATCTTATCACTGAAATAGTCAATGGTCAAGGCATTAGGCCACACAAGTTTGTTTTCATAAAGTACAATTCGAGAGAAATTTGCTCCATCCATTCCCATTCGAGCAATATAAGCATGGTGTCCCCAATCAGAGAAATACACATATCTATGAAAAAGGAAAAGTACAATTTAAGTATCAATAGAGAAAACTCAGTTCAATGTCTATATTAATACATTAACATAATCTTACCCAATACCAGGATGCACAGCAATAGCTCTTGGATCAGATATTTTGCCAGATAACAATGTTTTTCTGTTAGTACCATCAAGTTCAGCAACATCCAGCTGTTTGGAAGTTCGGTCGAGCCAATAGATTTTCCTTTGAAAAGAAATATAATTTTATGTCAGAAAACCGTATGTGCATTACAATTAAGAATTAGTTGCAGATTATGTAAAAATCAATCAATTAACTGTATTGGAAGTAACAGAAAATATAAGAATTATATCTTTTATTCATTAATGCATCATAGCAAAAGAAAATTGCAGATAAGCTATTCAGAACTCTAGTTGCTCATAGCTTATCTATATAGAATTATAGAATATGCCACTTAGAGTAAGTAAAGTAAACTACTAAAAGGAGGTTTCATCTATCAACTATCCTCTACAATGAGAAAACTCTCCCATCTACAAAACAGCTCATCTAACTTAAAGGCTTGCACATGAGCAAATGGACAAATGATGTGCCTTGTTTAACAGTTAATATTTCTTTATAATATTTCTTTTTGCAGATTATATTTTTTTATCGAATAATTATATTTTATAAAATGTATAGATAAAAAAATTAATAATTAAAATTACCAAATTATTGAAAAAACAACAACATGAAAACACTATTCTAGCCTAAAGTGACCACACGTCCCGATTTCGGCGGGACAGTCCCGCTTTTTGGTGGACTGTCCCGCGTCCCGCCGATTTTTTGAAATGTCCCGCTTTTTAGAAAATACCTGTATTTCTTATTTTAAATGTACTGTAAAAATATATTACCTATTATTTATTAAGTATTATGGTGAATATAAAGAATTAAAAAATAGATAAAAAAACACATAAAGTGCATGCAGAGTAAACTAAATTAGGCAATGTACCGCGTTAGATTTATTCGGTGGTGTTCGATCATTGTCGTTACGTCTCGGCTTAATTCATATAAGTGCAGACAGGCGGACTGCCGATAGACAGTGCGGTTTGTTCTTTTCAATTTGACTTTCGGTTTGACTCGATTCGATTGACGAAGATAGTGGTAGAGCAATAGTCGCTACAACGTAATGGCCAGAAAGGTAAAATTTAATACTCTTTTTTAGCCTTTGTAGTAAATTTTTTTATTTATTTCTAGTATTTACCCACAGAATAAAAGATGAGTAAAAAAAGAGAATGCAAATTTAATGAAGAGCTAAGCAGGGAATTTCCATTTATTAAAAAAACTAAAATAGACTATATGGTACGGTGTGATAAATGCAATGCTGAATTTTCGGTCTCACATGGTGGAAAAAACGATATTACTAAACATCTAGCGACAAAGAGGCACAAAAGATTTTTAAAGTGAGTAT